TAAATACACACATATCATCATCATGGCTAGGCTTCACGAACAAAGATCTGGGGAGGGCTCTGCCCACATTTGCTACAAGCACGCTGGTGGCTAAAAAGGCCAATATGAGATAGACAAGTCCAGTTGCAAAAGGCACAGCAGAAAGACTCCTTAGGTGGTATCGGCAAGACATGGTTCTTTCTGCGTTGTCTTTTCTCCTCAAGAGTGATTCTGCATGTGTTCTTAATATACACATGTATTACTGAAGGGAGTCTCTAAGTAGCCGAATGTGCAGGTTGCTTTGTCAGTCTTGTAGGCAGCATTAACATATTGACCTGTTTTAAGAAATTTCACATACATTCACACACAGAAGAATGCACACACCCCCCAAAGATACATGAGATCAGGAATGGCAAATGGCTAACGTTAGCCAAAAGAGAGATAACTAAACTCAAAGAATTAAATAATCCTTGCTAAAGACAAACAAATTAAATAATCCTTGCAGGATCTCAGATACATCACATACACACATTCATATTTTCAGTTAAAAAAAGCAATCAGTCAACATATAAATGCCTATGTAGATAAGCACTGCACAGCAGAGATACCTCTGGGACTAAGAAGTGGGCAGACTAAGAGACAGAGCTTCTCACTAACAAAAGAATTACTAAGATGTACTATGCATTATAGGCTTCTAGCAAAGTAAACTAAGATCCACATCAGACTTTTGCATTTCAGGGTACAGTTTCAGTATTTATTTGTAATTTTTAACAGCACTATCTCCAACACACAGAACAGCCCAGAAGAAAGACTATTGGTGACTCTTCTGCCCATCAGGTCTTACCTCCCTGACTTCTTGCTTCCCTGCAAGCATTACTAATTGGCATGTCAACAAAAGTTGTGGGAAATGCAAGTTTTCATAGAATCACAGAATGGTTCATGTTGGGAGGGATCTCTGCAGAAGATGTGGTTCAACTCCCCTGCTCAAGCAGGAACACCTAAACTTAAAGCTTGTCAACAGAGTTCTGTGAAAACTAGAAAGTTGAAGTGAGGCTCCAAAACACATTAGTAACAGGAGTAGAAAAAATTACTAAATAAGTAATTCCAAGGTGTAGATACCAGCGTGCAATGACTCTTATTTTCTGTACTCTGTGCTGCACTTCAACAAAGATTAATTTTGTTTTCTGATTAAAAATATCATACAAAACATGTGTTCGTGTACCATTATCAATAGGAAGACAACACAGACTACATCCAGATAAAGATTTCAAGATATAACTCAGGATTTCAATGAATGTTTGGGACTTAACAGATAAATTTAATTAAAAACAAAACCAAACCAACAAACAAAAAAACCCAAACTTGCTGGGTGAGCAAGCCTGGAAGGTGAACTGACAAGATACCTTTATCTGCAACTTAAAAAATCCCTGAATTACTATTGTTGCCATCCTGTTCACAACCAAAAGTAAGATGAAAAAGTAAGCATCACATTCTAGCAAGCCTATGAGGATCTAGAAAGACACACTAGACACTCCCATGAATTCAATCTGTTTAAACAGGCCCAGAGCACAGACACGTGTGGATTATTTCAAAACACAGAACTGATAACATTCATTTAGTTTAGCTTTGCGGGCACAGAAGATGGCGACACATATTTTCAGCCATTAGCTAGAGCTAATAAATTGCTCATCACAATGAGGGTCCAAGTCATCTGACACATCTAGGCATCAGGGCATCACTAGGAAGAGTTTGTACCATCTACATTGAGTTATTTTGCTATTGGAGTCCTTAGCTGTTTCTTGATTCAGAACCAGAATAAATCATTTTCACGTCCTAAATTAACACCCTGATCAAGTACAGTTAGGCAGAAGTTGCTCCAAAAATTCCGAGTTCAGTGTAATGGTTTTTGCTGGGATAGAGTTAAATTTCTTCATAGTACGAAGAAATGAATGGTGCTGTGTTTCGAATTTGTGTTGAAAATAATGCTGATAACCCACTGACGTTTTAGTTACTGCTGAGCAGAGCTTACACAGCATCAAGGTGTTCCCTGCCCCTCATACCGCTGTGCCAGCGAGCAGGCTGCAAGTGCACAAAAAGTTGGGAGGGGACACAGCTGGAACAGCTAACCCTACCTAACCAAAGGGATATCCCATGCTATAAGACATCATGCACAACAATAAAAACTGGGGGGAGGCTGGTGGCGGGGACTACTGCTCAGGGACTGGCTGGGTATTGGTCTGTTGATGGTGAGCAATTGTTTTCATTTGCAATGGTTGTTTTTCTTGGATTTTATTTTCCTCTCTCTGTTGGTTTACTTTTTCTTTCCCTTAAAATTTTTAAATGTCTTTCTAATTATTAAGCTGTCTTTATCTCAACCCATAAGTTTCTTTGTCACTTTTGCCCTTCCTATTCTCCCCACCATCCCACCAGCAGGAAGTGAGCTGGCAGCTGTTTGGTGCTTAGTTGCCAGCTGGGGTTAAACTACGACATTCACATGGGAGAGAACCCAAAAAGGAAGTGCCCATCTCCTCACGTAAGTGTTAAGAAAAGGCTGGTAGTAGTAACTTCTGATTTCTTCAGTAATGGTATAGACACAGTTCATCCTAACCTGTGGCAGAGGAATGAACTACTGACCAATGTCCTTTCTAATCCTATGATGGTCTGACAGTGGTCAAACTCAATGCTTTTCAGGAGCAGACAACAGTAAAGAAATATCTTTCTGTGCCAGATTTGCAGAGAGGGCAATAGAACAGAAATGGCCCAGCTGTGTCCACAATAATCTGAAATTGCAGAGATAATTCCTTCTGCCAAGCAAACATAGACTAATTTTTCTTTAAGATTGGTAAGACTCACAATACAGCCTGACAGTGACATGCACCAGCACCCCACAGAGGTCTGCCACAGAGCATAAGGACTTTAGAACAGAAGCAAGATGGGTAAGTAAAAGCCTGCATGCAGCTTTGAGATAAATAGTGAAGGGGAAGATCCAGGTGCCTCCCTTTTGTTCATGTAGCTCAGCAGTCACCCCGAAGGAAGTGGTCAAGGGGTCTCAGGCAAAAGATGCAGCAATTCTGCATCTTCTGAAAGTTTGACTTTTGGCATTGCTTGTAACCACGAATCCTCTTACAGCTCAGATGTCATCTGATACCTGTACACTGGTTTTACTATACAACACACTACATAAAACAAAGAGCCTATGGCTTCCCACAGTGTCAAAAGTTCACTGGCTATTTTCCCTCCCAGTCTGTGGAGGAGGCTTTTTCTGGAGCAAGGCATGTTCATGGGTGTGACAGAGACTGGGCTGAGGACTGAGGACAAGGACTCCCCCTGCTGCATTCAAAAATCACTAAGAAATTACATTATGCTGCCTTGAAGAACTGAGTCTGTCCTATTGGGGGAAAACAGTTTCTCTTTGAAGATAAAATAAAAACATTCATAACATTCAGTGTTGATACAGTTAAAGTGCAAAATGTCATAACCTTGTAATTGCCTACAACCAAAACTACAGACTTTAGACTGAAGTCACATTAAAACAGTTTCCAAAAAAGTTATTTTCCCTTATTATACCGAAATATTGAGCAAAGTTCAAATTATTTAGGATTTCTTCTGAGAGTTGTAGAAAAGCTTCAAGGTGTCAAGTGAAATGGCATTTCTAACTAATAATAATCTCCCACATATTTTCCAGAATGACCAAAAAAACCCAACCGAAAATCAAGAGGTGAATCAAAAAGCCCCTTTGAACTTTCAAAATCACAGAGAAGATCCCATTCAGAGACAGATATTATGCTCTAAATGAAAGCATAAATAATATGATGCACACTTGAACCAATTTTCCTGTAAAGGAGAATTACCCTGCTTACCCCTCACCAGGGCTATGTTCTCTTGCATATCTTGTGCAACAAGAACTTTCTGAGAGGGCAATCACAAAACTGAGAAAGAAAGACAGGTAATTAGAGATGCTCAAGGAGTCTTTAAGAGAGGAACAACAGCGCACTGCTGTGCCAAAAATAATTGCTCCTTTGGTCTGCCTGTCTCTTGAGGTCCTGTTCCACATTAATTAACACTCCTCCCAATAAGGAAGAATCGGTTGGTTTCTTGGTCTTTTGTTTATTGATTTTTTAACTCAAGCCATTCCCTTTAAGCATGAGATATCAAAGCGATTTGAAATAGAACAGTCTGGGTTGGAAGGGACCTTTAAAGGTCATCTAGTCCAAGCCCTCTGCAATGACCAGGGACATCTTCAACATGATCTGTCGGCTCAGAACCACGTTCAACCTGATCTTTATTGTTTCCACAGCTGGGGCATCTAACACCCCTCTGGCAACCTGTTGCCATGTTTCAACACTCTCATTGTAAAAAACTTCTTTCTTATATCTAGTATGAAGGTACTCTCTTTTAGTTTAAAACAATTACGTCTTGTCCTATTGCTACAGACCCTATTAAAAAGTCTGTCCCCATCTTTCTTGTAAGACTCCTTTAAGTATTGAAAGGCCACAACAAGGTCTTCCCAGAACCTTCTCTTCTCCAGGCTGAACAAGCCCAGCTCCCTCAGTCTTTCCTCACAGAAGAGTTGTTCCATCACTTTGATCTTTTTTGTGGGCCTCCTCTGGACTCTGGACACAACAGGTTTGTGTCTCTCCTGTGCTGAGACTCCAGCACAGGAGTGCTGCTGAGTGCAGTATTCCAGGAGGGTATGAAAGATTAAGTGATGCACTTCGCTCATAAGAGAGAAGTACCAATATATTTATTGATATAAACCAGGAATTTAACAAAGCCTGATACTAAAAGTGACAATGATGTAAAGTTACACATGATTTTTTACTGCATAGAGGACATAACTGTCAGGTCCACCCTCCTGTTGAGCCATGAGGTTCAGAAAGGATCTCCTTGCTTTCTAAACTCCCTTCTGATTTAGTTCCAGACTTGGTCAATGGTTTATGTCTAGAAGATTATCTGTGCACAATCAATCCTTATATGACTTAGCTATGATTTCAAAGTTTAGCATGCTATTAATCACTTACCAAGAATCTGTTGCAGCAAGGAATCTCTCAGCCACAAGGAGTAACCTTGGGAGGCGTTTCCTATTCAAGGGAAGATCCTGGTATGCAGTCTGCTGCCATGCAGGACAGTTCAATGGGCCCTGGGCTGTCTGCTGTTCATAGAATAAGATGGTTGACTTATAGTCATACTTACATGCCAGCCGTATTTTGTGTTGTTGCATGCTCAACTACCCCTGAGCTGTTAAGCAAGACTTACTGCCCTTAGCCATTGAGCAAGATTTATGGCCCTTAACTATTCTGTTGTTATCTGTAAGACAGACAAAGGCATCACGACCACCACTGGTGGCTATTGCTCAAGCAAACAAAGGCAGGGTGGGGAGCACACCATCACAGTGGTGCCTCACAAGAGCAGAGTGGAGGGGTAGAGTCACCTCTCTTGATCTACTGGCCACAGTTGATATCTCTTCTTTTTATGCAGCTCAGGATACAGTTGTCTTTCTGGGCTGCAAGCACACACTGCTGGTTCGTGTTAGTTTCCATCCACCAGCACCCCAACACCTTCTCAGCAGGGCTGCTCTCAATCCCTTCCTCCCTCAGCCTGTATTGGTACCGGGGTTTGCCGCATTCCAGATACTTGCCCCACTCCATCTTGCACTTGGCCTTGTTGAACCTCATGAGACTCCCATGAGATCACTTCCCAATCTTGTCCAGCTTCCTCTGAACGACATCCAGTCTTTAAGGACTGTCAACTGCACCACTCAGCTTGGGTTACCTGCAAATTTGCTGAGGGTGCACTCGCCCCCACTGTCTATGCCACTGATAAAGGTATTAAACAGTACTGGTCCCAATTTGGAACACTGATTGACACCACTCATCACTAGTCTCCATTCATACATTGAACCATTCACCACTACTCTTTGGATGTGGAAATTTGTTTTTTTCTAAAAACTTGTTTCTGTAATGCTGTAGCTTCAGAATGAGCCAGGAGAAACTGAACAACTGAACTTTTGCTTTACTGGCAGAACAGTCCTTTAGAAGACAGTATTCTTCTAAACAGAAGAATATGGAAACAGCAGACAGTCATGTGAACCATGAAGATGAGTCTACTGCAGATTTAAACACTAAATCTGGCACATATAAATTGAAGCCCCTTTACCTAGAACTGCCCACCCACTCTAGATGGCGACAGTATAAGCTTCTGCTTCCATGGGACATGAGTGTCTAAGTGTCTTTAACAGTTTGTGGAGGTCTGGTGTGCTGGTTTTGGCTTGGGCAGAGTTAACTTTCTTCACAGTGGCTGGTATGGGACTCTGTTCTGGATTGTGCTGAACACAGGGTTGATAATATAGGGATTTTTTTGTTCCTGCTGAGCAGGGCTTTTCTGCTTTTCTTACTGCCATGCTGGCACGGAAGTTTTGGGTGCATGGGAGGTTGGGAGGAGACACAGCCAGGACAGGTGACCCAAACTGATATTCCACACTATATGATATTCTTGCTCAGTACATAAAACATGGGGAAGAAGGAGAAAGGGACATCTGTAGTGATGGCACTTGTCTTTCCAAGTAACCATCATGCATGATGGGGCCCTGTTCTCCTGGAGATGGCTGAACATGTGCCTGCCCGTGGGAAGCAGTGAATTAATTCCTTGTTTTGCTTTCCTTGTTTGTGCAGCCTTTGCTTTCCCTGTCAAACTGTCTTTATCTCAACTCCGAGTCTTCTAGCTCTTACCCTTCCAGTTCTCTCCCTGATCCTGCTGGTGGGGAAATGAGCGAGTGGCTGCCTGGGGCTTGATTTCTGGATGGGGTTAAATCACAAGTCTTTTTTGGCACCCAACATGGGGCCCAAAGGGTTTGAGATAATGGCAGATCTGATTGGGATGTGCTAGATTGAATTTATATCTGTCAGTGTTGTTTAGCTAGTAATGAGCAGGCTCCTGTACTTCCCATAGGGCTCGCTTTCCTGTCTGTATATTAGAGTCCAGTGCTTGTTAGTGGCTGCTTTTTGCTTTCACTGCTTTTTGTAGTGCTATACAGCTTATCACCTCACTGAATTGTGCCTGGGAACGTTTTGATAACAGCCACGGTGATGCACCTGGGCTGGCAGGTGGCTCGTGTGTTGTTGCTGTTTCTTTTCTGCCGTATTGGACAGCCTGGAACTTCACTCTGCACTTGAGCTGAAGTTCAGAGTGAGCGAGCGGCTGCGTGGTGCTTGGTTGCTGGTTGGGGTTAAATCACGACATCTGGTCAACAAAGGCAATGGAGCACTGCAGAGAGCTGACCACTGAACCCCTGCAGGTGGTCACTGCACTCCCACTCCAAGTGAAAGCAATGAACATTTGAGGAATGGCCTGGGAAAGGAAGGAAAAAGACGTTCAGTTAGAGGATAATTCCTATCCAAGAAAGCGAAATGGAAAGGAAGGCAGCCAGGATTACATTTGTGTTTTACAATTAGTAATCTCAGAGTACTGCTGACTGAATGGGAGTGATTTCACTGCACAGTATTCCAGCAGGTGACCAGTGAGGAAAATGGAAAGGGTGAAGAAAGATGAAGGTACCAGAGGAAGACCAAGGTGGGATCAGGATGCACTCTGGTTCATTTATGAGGAGCAATATCTAACGTGGCTGTCAATACTCAGGGATCAACGAGGTCTTTTCCCAAGAACATGCAATCTCTGTGTGACATGTCAGCCTTCTAGGGAATGCACTCCCAAGATGACAGGAATCCAAGAAACTGAAATTCTCTACAGATTACCCAGGTACTGACATCTCTGCAAACATTCTGGCTCCCCCAAAAAAGGTTGAAAGACACATGTTGATAAAAATACATAGGCACAGATAGGGCCAGACAAGCAGACTTACATGTTTGCAGCAGCAAAAGAAGAAGATATTACTCTGATATGCAAACCCATAATAAACATAGATCAATGCCAGGATAGCCTGGATTTCCAAAGAAGCAGATAACTTTTCTGATATCCTGTTGGCACAGAAACACTGGAGCAGATGGGCAATGATTATGTTAGTTGTGTGGTTGGCAGAAATTTCGCTCACAAGAAGTATGAAATTACCTTCCAGTAAACGAAATGGGGAGGGTTTTGAAAGGTCATACCCTCCATGCATAACAGAATAAATGCTGGCATTAGTCCCTGCAAGATCTTTCTTGTGTATTTGAGCTCTAATGAATCAAAGTTCAGTTTGTGCTCAGATCAGTATTCTCTGACATGTAAATATTCAAAACAATAAGGTAGTGTTTAAAATAAAAACTAAAAAAACCACTATGAACAAAGCTCAAACGGACATTGGCTGATTAAAGCAGGAGTAAGAAACAGACACTGTAGTTTTACTCTGTGGTTTTTCTCCAGAAATAATGTACACTTACAGTTCCTGAAGATTGTCGAGACTTGGCTGACCACTTCATGAGGAAGCTTCTAAACATGTACGGAGTAAATAAGCCTACAAAGATAACAGACTCCCTATAAATATCACATTGATTAAAGAGGCAAACCTTTTGCAGTTCTCATGGAAGCAAGTTGGGAAATCACTTATGTATTTTAAGGAAAGTGAAATGTTGTGGATGAAATGTATAAGGATGTACAAGTACAAAATTGACTAGGTTCTCCAGTAGCTTCACATTACATCAAAATATCTGCATTCCAGGGTTTTAAAAGTATAACATAGAATCATAGAATCATAGAATCAGCTGGTTTTGAAGGGACCTCCAAGATCATCAAGTCCAACCCTTGATTCAACACTGCGGTGGTTACTAGACCATGGCACTAAGTGCCACATCCAGCCTCATCTTAAAAACCTCCAGGGTTTTTTAAAACCTCCACTTCCCTGGGCAGCCCATTCCAATGCCTGATTACCCTCTCTGTAAAGAATTTCTTCCTAATATCTAACCTAAACCTCCCCTGGCACAGCTTAAGACCATGCCCTCTTGTCTTACTGATAGTTGCCTGGAAGAAGAGACCAACCCCCACCTGGCTACAACCTCCTGTCAGGTAGTTGTAGAGAGTGATGAGGTCTCCCCTGAGTCTCCTCTTCCCCAGGCTGAACAACTCCAGTTCCCTCAGCCTCTCCTCATAGGACTTGTGTTCAAGTCCCTTCATCAGCCTTGTTGCTCTTCTCTGGACCTGCTCCAGCACCTCAATACCCTTCCTGAACTGAGGGGCCCTATATTATCAACCCTGTTAGTGAAGGCACAGAGGGCACATATCTCCCACCTGATAGCCCCCAGCTTGACAATTAGACTGCTCTCTTTGCATTCACGGGTTTGAGGCACTGCATCTACCAAGTCATCCGCAGTCAGGTAACCTCAGGGCCACGGGCTGTCACTGCCTCGAACAGGTAACAAAGTCCTATTGTTTCAGCCAGGCATGCAAACACAGGCAGTAGCTAAGCAGCCCACAGAGTACTCCTGCCTCATCCAAATGCAGGGAAAGAATAGGATAGGATAGGATAGGATAGGATAGGATAGGATAGGATAGGATAGGATAGGATAGGATAGGATAGGATAGGATAGGATAGGATAGGGTAGGATAGGATAGGGTAGGATAGGATAGGATAGGATAGGATAGGATAGGATAGGATAGGTTCGGAGACAACTTCTCTACAGTGGGCACTATAAAGATCAGGTTAGCCAAATTTCCTTCAGAAATGGCACAGGCATACCTGATGCTGCATTTTTGTGGAAGAAATATGATGAAAGACTTCTTGATGTCACTTTTTTTTATGCCAGGGTCCACTGTATCTCACACAAGCACTTTCCAAGGGCTGCCTGGATGCACTTGGAAATGACCTGCTGTCCTGGCATTCCAAAGAGAGGGGCAGAAATAAGCCATCTCATCTCTGATTGAGAATTTGAAATTACAAACTTCAATTCCTGGTATAAGAACACAGCTCTGCATTTTGGAATTAAAATACACAGTGCTTTCTGAGACTTGGTTGTGTCCCGCTTAACCACAGAGCAGGAGTCTGCCCCTGAGCTCAAAGACTTTATGACAATACACAAACAAGAGGAATTCAGTCCATGGCTTCTTGAGAGCCAATCTGGGCCATCCTGTCATTCACGGGAGATTTTACAACTTTTCTAGGTTATCTCTATAGTTGTAAGAATCTAATTAACACTTTTTTACACTTAGGGTTCTCAAATACTGGAATAGGTTGTCCAGACAGCTTGTGGAGTATCCACCTCTGAAGATGTTCCAAACTGGACGGAATAATGTCCTGAGCAACCTGCAGTAGTTTTCCATTCAGCAGGGTAGGGTGGACTAGATCTCCAGACAGCTCTCTAACCTGGACTATTCTGTGAATTTTTTTTGCTTTGCAATTAATTACAGCATTCCAATTTCCCAATTTTTTATGAAAGCAGACAGCTGAGAAATGAAAAATAGTTAAAGAAAATAATTAATATAAAATAAATCACAGGAAAATTGTCATTTCTCATTTGTAAACTAAACATTTCAAACAACAGAACATATAAGCTAGAATTTCTGAAAATGTTTTCAAGAAATTCGGAAAAATTACATTAAATGCTATCTCATGGCATTCTATTTCAAATAACATGATTGTAAAATCATCTTTGCAGTTGTATATGGAAATTTCTTTAGGCTACAGGAATTTATTGAAAGGGCAGAAATCAGAGAGATATTTTCCACCTATGAAATACAGAACAGATAGGGATTTTCATTAATGCATGCTTGGAAATAATTACTCATGGAGCTCAGAATTTAAAGAGTGCTAAGTTTGTTGGCACCTCATCCACCTTATTTCATAAGAATTTACATGTCAATTTTATTTTAAGTCTATATTGACCACCCAGACAACTAAGCATGAGTTAGCAGTGTGTGAACATGAGTCAACACCACAACCTTGTGGTGGACACGGCCAAACACAAAGGGGGCAGCACTTCAAGGGAAGTGATTATATTCTTCCATTCAGCATAAGATCTCATCATGTGCTCAGGGCTAGGCTCTCCAGTACAGGAGAGATATCAGCTTACTTCAGTGAGACCAGGGAAAGGGCACCATGATGGCTGGGTCCTGGAGCACCCAATGTACCAGAGGCAAGGGAGCTACATCTAGTCTGAAGACCAAGGGTGGGGAGCATTTCCTTGATGTCTTCAGACATGTGATGGGAAGGTACAGGGAAGACAACCGGGCTGCTCTCAGAGATGTCCTGGGAAAAGAAAAGAATCAACTGTCACAAATTGTATCAGAGAAATTCTAGTAAGATATTGTCACAGACAAAAAATGTTTACTCCTTCAGGGAATTTTCATGAATTTATTTGACAATTAACAGCCTATTAGTTACAGATTCTGGTATCAAGGGAGACTGAAAAAACCAACCAACCCTCAGGAAAAAACTCTGCTTCCCTTCTGACACCTCTTCCCCCCACTGACCTTTTTGCTCCTCAGTCCCCTCACCCCCAGGCCATGCTCAGCCCCTTTGCTGAGCCAGTGGCCAGTGCAAGAGACTGGGGACAGCACACGAGTGCTGGTTCCTTCACTGACAGCAGCTCCTCCAGGCTGCATCTCTCAGCTCCTGCTCCAGCAGTACCTTGGCTCCAACCCCTGCCCAGGTGTTCCCTTCTCTCTTCTCTCCTCCTGCTCCAGTGTTGATTCCCCCCCTTCTCCTCTCTCCTCTTACCCTGGCCTTGTTTCTCCTTTTGCTTGGTGTTTACCGCCCTCACTTTAAGATACTTTCCCAGAGGTGCCATAGACTCCCCTGAGGATGGGCCCAGACGTGTCCTGTGTTGGGTCCTTTGGATCTGGATGGCACATGCTGTGACTGGCTCAGGGCAGCCCCAGCCTCTCCTCACAGAGGCCACCCCTGCAGCCCCTCTACCAAAACGTTGACAATGACGAGGGGACAAATCACTGTGAAGCAGTCAAACACTAGAGCAGGTTGCCCAAAGGCTCTGGAATCCACACCCTTGGAGGCAATTCCAAACTCAGCTGGGCAAAGCCCTAAGTGACCTGGCCCAACACCCACAGCAGACCTTCTCTGAGCACGGCACAGGTGACACAAGTGCCAGAGGATCTTTCCAACCTGAGTTATTCCATGATTCTACAAAACTGTTGGAATCACTTCCAGGCTCAGTAAAGGTTTGGAAGACACAAGAATACAGAGACCAACCAGAAGATGCTTGTGTCTGCATTACTGAGGAGATCCTTCCCTTTCAAAATAAATAAATATTACCATAAAGTTAGCAGAGATGACAGGGAGGCATGTCCAGAGCAGGAGACTGACCCTGTTCTGTTCCAAGTAGGTGGAAATGGAGGCTGAGGGGACAAAATGAAAAAGAGCTTTCCAACAAAAAGACTGTGAAGCAGGGAGTCTTACCAGCTAGGCACATGATTTTTCTTAATTTTAAACACTACACAAAAGGTCACACGTGCAAGAAACTGCATTTGCTCTCCCTGCCCTGGTGTTTCTTCAGCTCAGCCCTGGAGTTATCGTAACATTCAGGCCACAACCAATGTCGTGTCTGCATCTGCAAGTCTTCCTGGGCTGTGTCTGAGAGAGACCCTGGGCAGGGCACAAATGCCCCAGTGTTGGTCAGTGGGTCCTGCTGTGGAAGAGAGGAGGTTCTGGCACCCACCCCCAGAAACACTCCTGTCCCCCAGAATCCTTGGGCCTCTGCCTCAGATGACATGATTTAATCACCACCCCTCAGGGACACTCTCCGCACATATTCAGTTTCTGATTCCCACAAAACTCTGCTATACTTTTCCTGGAACTTTGAAATCTCGGTTGCCGTATACGGCACCATTTTAGTAGCAGTTTGCTGACCCTGACCATCGTCTATGGTTTCAGCTTTAATTAGGGGTCGTAATGTTACTTCCTCGTCAACAGATTAAAATGCAAACGTAACATGTCACTTTTTGTCAGGATAATAGTTTTACTCATTCATTGGATACAAAAATGCAGAGTTGTGAGACAGTATTTCTGTAAATGGTCCAGATGCTAAATCCTGCAATCCTTCCCATAAGATTTTACTCTCTTATATGCATCCCAAAGCTCCACCTGAAGCGTCCTAGTATGATCATGCTTGGCAGCAAGCAATGCCTCCTCCTGCAGCCTCTTTTCCTTTTCCCAACTGTGCTCAGCAAGAAATGCCTCCACCTGCACCTTACTCTCCCCTTCACGATCATGCTGAGCTGCAAACAGGCCCTCTGCCCGCAGCGTACACTCCCTTTCACAATTGCACTTAGCAGCAAGCAACACTTGTTCCCAAAGCCTGTTTCCTCTCTCCTCACTTAACTGATCCTGCAATCCTTTCACCAAATCCTGCAGAGATCCAATCATTTCTCCTTCTTCCCATTTGTTGGCATACCTCTCCTTTTGGGCAGCACTTTAAGCTACTCCCAAAATTGCACACAAAACTGCTTTACCTTTCCCCTTTCATACCTTTTGTTCACTTAACACCACATTTATTGATTTAACCACTGCTTCAGGCCTATACAAATCTCCATTTGCCCATTCCATGCCCGAGGGAGTCAGGCACACATTATATTCTCTCAACTTTTCCAAAATCAGGGAACAGTCAAGCACTGATATTTCCTACGCAGTCTTGGCTTACAGCTGCTCAGATGCCTCCTGGCTCTTAACAGGATCACATCCCAGCACTCCCTGCCCAGAACTCAAGGGTAGAGTGATGACATTCTGAACGGATCCCTTCAACCATGGCATCCTGTCCATGATACCAAAAATGTGCCGTCCCTCCCTTAAGGGCCGGGAGCACCCAAGATTTGTAAATGCTCGTGGTCGAAAGGAACAACAAATGTCAGAGGGTCTGCAAAAAATCACAAAGTTTTAAGAGTAAATTACGCATTTGGCACAGAAATTGGTATATTAGTCCCTGACCTACTATATAAACACATGGCAATGGGTTTTGAATGAAGGGGTAGGGTGAAAGGGAAGATAGAAAGGAAGAGATGAATTAAAGAGGGGGATAGAGAAAAAGAGGAGAGAAAGAGACAAAGAAAGAAAGAGGAAGAGAGGAAGGAGGGAGACAGGGAGGAAGGAAGGAAGGAAGGTAGGTAGGTAGGTCCTGGGAGTGCCCCTCTACAGTCCATGCCCACCTCTTGGCCTCATTCCTGTGTTTGTGCAGTACTGTGTTTTCTTATCTCCAGGAACTAAAACAAGGATGTTTGTCTCAGAAAAGTGCTGCCCTACCTCGGCATGGCCCTCTTCTGCAGCCACATGTTATTCTTTCTCACAGCATGTTATTATCAACAATCCTTGGTTATTACCAACAATCCTCGGTTATTACCAACAATCCTTGGTTGCCTCCACAGCCACCTGGCTATCGGTGTTTGAGACATACACATCAGCCTCATATATTCTGGGCTTCTGCACAGCTTTCCTCATCACCATTTCTTTAGCACTGGGAAGCACACAGTGTGGCACTGTGAGTATCTATTTATGGGGCAATATGTCCAAACAGTAATTCACTGGAATCCCACTTTGAAACTTCCAGAAAATGCAACGTAACAATCAGGACAGAGGTTGTGCCTTCATTCAAAAACTACCAGAAAGCTTGACTCGCTGGAAGTCATGTGACCAGCTCCTGGCCCTGCCCCAAGAAGCGTTTCAGATTTCATCTTATTAGAAATTAATATGCATGAATAGGCCAGGGAACAAGGACAAGAATCCAGATTCTGGGAGAAGACTGGCACATACTACTTGCTTGAAGTCCATTCTGAATTGAGAGTTGGTGAAGCCATCTTCCCCATGCCCTAGATCAGATCCCCAAGCCTTGGAGTTAAACCTAAAGGCACTGACTTATGCCCAGTGTACTGAGTACCCTGACTGGGTAGCTCCTGCCACCAGGACAGTTCCTAGATTTTGAGAAGTTAGAAGCTACAGGAAATAGCTTCTAAGGGCCCATCTCCCACACAGAAACTCAGAACTGACATACCTGTCGCAGAACACCTGTGCATGGAAAAGGGACTCACCAGGATCCAACCTGCCCTAAATGCTGAGCACAGTAGGAGACATAGAATGCTGCTCAGAGCCTGGCTGGCTGCTTTATCCTCGCAGGTGCCAAGCCTGTCTGCTCAGGTTGCGAGAGAAGAAATACCTACAACTTTTCTTTGCAAGTACTGGCAGGGAAGGAGAAAGTTGCTTCTTTCAAAGAAAGGCAAGGAGAAGAAGGGCCTGCCTGGGACGTATTAGCTCGCTGGCTGGACACCTCTCCAGCACTGCCACATCTGAGCTTAATCATCACATCTCAGCCAGAAGTCACTCAAATCACTGTCACCAGTGTCAAGAACACCAGGCTGCAGGCTATTTTACGGACTTGGAAGTATCCTTTCTATCATTGCTACTGCACAAAGCTCTGGTGTATCACACCAGTGATATTCTTGTGACTTGCCAATGGCAATCACTAACCCCTGTTTCAAAGTCTTTTAGTCCCTCAGCTCTCATTCCCCTGTTTTGTAAACCTGTTTACCGAGAGAGCAAACACGGCAAGATGTACATCACCAATGTCTGCGTTTTGCTCTCAGATGGAAGAACAGTCCTTAGTGGTTAACTAACGACTGCAGCAGCCTCAGGGAAAACAGTAAAAACGTCTGTGAGGTGAGGTCTAGCGGATGACATGCAGAAGAAGGGCCGTGCCGGGCGTCCGCACGGCGACAGAGCCGGGCTCCAAGTCGCGCTCAGCACGGGGGGGGAGCCGGGGACCCGGTGGGATCCGAGACGGGGCGGGGCACGTCGGGGGCAGCCGGGACTGCGCGGCCCCCCGGCCTGCCCGTCCTGGGGAGGCGGCGGAGGCCCCGCTGAGTCACGGTGAGGGCGGGTCCGCCCGCTGAAATACCGCTTGTTCCATCCGCGGCCCCGGCGGACAGAGGGCCGCTCCCCATTTATCTCCACTCGTCTCCCGCTCCTCTCCCTCTCCTCTCCTCAGAGAGCCCACACCGGCGGCCCCCGGCGTGGGACGCGCCTGCGGCGAGGAGCTGCCGCCGGCAGCCCGTGCCCCCGCCTCGGCCATGGCGGGTCCGGGGGACCCCGCGGAGCGCTGCTCCTGCCGCAACACCGACTGCCTGGAGCGGCCGCTGCGGCGGCTCTTCGAAGGGCTGGCGAGCGGCGTGGCCGCCTGCCCCTGGCCCTTCGTGCTGGTGCCGCTGCTGCTGTCGGGCGGGCTGGGCGCCGGCTTCCTCTTCCTGCCGCAGCGGCAGGCGAACGACATCGAGGAGCAGTTCACGCCGACGGGGGGGCCCGCCAAGGCCGAGCGCGACTTGGTGCGGCGGCACTTCCCCACCAACGACTCGCAGCGCTTCTCCGCCCCCCGCCTGCCCACCGAGGGCGCCTACGCCGCCCTCATCGCCGTGGCGACCAACGGCACCTCGGTGCTGGACCCGACGGCGTGGGAAGAGGTGCTGCGGCTGGACAAGACCGTGCGCGACCCCGACTACGAGCGGCTCTGCGCCCGCAGCGACGGCAGCTGCGCCAGCCCCAACCCGCTGCTGTCGCCGAGGGGCGATGAGCGACCGCCCGTCTCGGGGAGCCTCCAGTTCCCCGTCAACGGCAGCGTCTTCCTGGGGGCCGCGCTGGGCGGCGTGGACGCGGACGGCGGGCGGCTGCTGTCGGCGCGGGCCCTGAAGCTGGTGTATTACCTGCGGGAGGACGGCCCCGAGGCGGAGGACAGCCGGCAGTGGCTGCACAGCTTCCTGCGGAACATCTCGTCGAAGCTGAGGGAGTTGCACCTCAGCTCCATTCAGGTAACGCAGGGGCGGGTACGGCCGTGCGGAGCCGCCGAGCCCCGAAATGTCCGGGCAGCCCCGTCGTGGAAAGGAAAGGAGACGGTGCGGGGAGAAGGCGGGTGGCCTGCGGCTTGCGAGGGCCACGGCACTGCTTTAGTGCCAGCGTGATGTTTAGCCTTGCCTGTGCGTGTGTACAAAGACCAAAGAGAAAAAAATGTGCTTCATCGTTTCTTTCCTTGTTCTTTTAATGGCAGGTGACTTACTTTACGTCGCTGTCCAGACAACAGGAGTTTGAAGGAAATACCAAGAGCGTGATCCCGCTCTTCTCCATAACGTATTTCTTGACAATAAACTTTGCAATCTTCTCTTGCTTAAGGTAAAATGCCTTCTAAGCTATGGCTCAATGAGCAGTGACTTCTGCTCTTCTTTACCTGCCTCGGTTTCTGCTCTGGTTTCTGCTTCTGGTCGAGTGAAAGCGTTCTTGAAGCTGCAGACTGTGACATTTCATAACAGGCAAAATGTATTTCTTTGCTCTTTCTTGTCTACCTGGGCATGTTTCCCAACTGCTTAGATGGGGTTCATGATAAGTAGCAGATGAAGACCTGAACAAGCATTCAGAGCTTAGTTAAGGTTCAGGTGGATGAGCACTGGCCTCATAAATTACTGCAAATCTGGGTACAGCTCTAAGTGTTCTGCTTGATAGTAGAGTCAGAGCCTTATCTGCTGTCCACAGAGAACTTCACCTGCCCTTTCTTTGTGGTGTTGGAAGGTGAGCTGTACAGCAGTGTTTGTGTACTGCATTGAGAAAAAATGTTCTGCTTGCAGGGTGGGCTGCCTGGTTTAGCACTTGCATCAAGCATCATGCCCATTAGAACATTTCTTGGGGAATCCTTGAGCCAGCCCTCAGGGGTGTCTTGGCAAAAAGCTGGTAGCCAATCTGCCTGCAGAGAAAGTTTCTCTGTGTGGCATTACTGCCTGGGAGGTGCTTCTGTATTACACTGATGTGATACACCAAGAACCCACGTAAAAGCAAAGAGCTTCTAAAAATTCCTCATTTTTTTGGGTCACCCTAAGTCTAGCCTCACTGATAGAGCTAATGTATCTTCATTTTGCATCTCTGTTGTTATTGATGCAAAGAGCAGTACACATCTTTACTCTTCTGAATATAGCTGGCCAGTGGTAATAATGCAGTAGCACCTCCTAGAGAAATTAACCTTCTCCAATGCTGACACCTGGGAGCCCTCCTAGCAACTTTCGTAAGGAGTTCTCTTCAGACAGGGTATCATTGGTACCTGTGCACTTGTCATGCCAAACACCTTGGTGAAACATTTGACACGTAATGAAGATATTCCTTGAAATATTTTCAGACTCAGCTGTATAAGAAATAATGTCTGGCTTGCCTGCTGTGGAGTGGTTTCTGCCGGCTTAGCTGTGTTTAGCAGCTTTGGATTGATGCTCTTCTGTGGAGCGCCGTTTGTGGTCACTGTAGCAAACGCACCGTTCCTGATTCTGGGTAAGTAGAAAAGTGAGTCTGAATCAAAGACAAGCAAAGTTAAAACAACCTAATGGTGTCAGTCTTTTATGATGTGAGCATCAGATCATACAACATTCTGTGCTGCAGTGAGGGGAGCAGATACCTGGAGGTGCAGCCTCCTTAGAGCTCCTACAGGCAGGTGAGCCCCTCAGCTCAGCTCAGCTGTGTTCTGGAGCAAGGGCAGCTTTTCCCAGAAAACAATGCCTGCTCTAGTTCCACTGCTCTGGTGTGAAAACTATAAATGAGAGAGTGGTAAGATTAATACTTCTGGCACTGTTCTAGTGTCCCTGTAGCCATGATGATTAATCCTCTGCAGTATAATGACTGTGTACTAACCAGTCTCATTCAGCTACACAATTGAAGTGATGCACCATTTGTGCAAGCAGCTCCCCACAAAAACCCAAGGAAGTTGATATCATTACATCACTCTTGCACAGACTGCTTGACAGGCAGTGCTGAACTTTCCAAATGCCCTTTGATAATGTTGCTGCAAGTAAATTACTTCTTTTAAAATCCTTATCTGCTCTCCTATGGGATAAATTCATGTGAAGTTTGCTTGGGCTTGGTCTCATGCTGAGGAAAGCTCGTGGAATTTCCAGGTTGATAGAGGCTGTGCATCATCTTAGCTGTCTAATGCAAATGCTCCTTAGGGCACGCATCATTTCTTTGTTTCCTGCATAATTCCAATGCATTTTGTATTTGTTTTTGTTTGCTCATCAATTGCAGCGGCTCTGAAGAGGGTCAGAAAAACCCTTTTGTATACCTGGGAAAGGGCTGAAGCCCTTCAGGTCTTCAGAAATAACATGCAGACTTTTGTCCTCCTTGCATTAAAGCAAACAACTTCTCAGTACATCAGATGATTTGCTTTGTACTTGCCTGCTTTCTGGAAGCAGCATGGCTCACTGCCATCCACTAGTACCTTTTCAAATTTCAGCTCACTTACTCTGGTATCTTAGCAAAACCCCCAAGCCCAGTATCCAGTCTTTCTGGCAGAGTTTAGGAGGATTCTGGTGGGTAATATTTGTGAGTGGATCAGTATAAATGTGAAGATAAATTAATAATGAATTGTGAATAAGTGCTGAAAGAGAAACTGGAGAGAAGTGGAGGGCAAAGAGCATAAAAAAGTGAGCCACTGGAAAATGGGGATCGCAACTGTTCTCCCTTTGTGCTGATGGCAGAGCAAGAAATTATTGGTCTAAGTTGCTGCAGTGATGAAGGAGATTCCAGGGATAATGGAGGACACTTCCAGTGGTAAGGATAGCTGAGCTTCAGAATACATAATGCTTTGGAATGTGTGTTGTCTGCATCAGTGGACATGTGGACAGCAGATACAAGAACTTTTCAGAGATGGAGTAGGTGTGCTCAGACCTTCAGCAGAGTAGGGTAAGGGATCAACAACCCATCAGGTCACCAGGAGTTTCTGAAAGGTACTACGTTTAGCTACACACACAGGATCTGTTTTCCTGATTCTCTTGTAACTTGTATCACCACTAAAGCAATATTAATAGCCCAACTTTCTTTTTCAAAATTTTATGTGGACTTAGATGTGATTAATGTTGTAGTTTTGTTGGGTGTTAGTGGAAGCTGCCATTTGCAATGCAGAGTTAACCTTTTCTCCTCTTGCAGGGGTTGGCGTTGATGACATGTTCATCATGATCGCTTCCTGGGAACAAAGTTCAAGGAAAAAAGAGAAATCCAGTGTTAAATCTCTGCTGGCTGAGACTTACTCAGAGGCAGCACTTTCTGTGACCATCACCACTCTCACGGATGTTTTGGCCTTCTTCATTGGCACCTGGACTGCTTTTCCCTCCGTGAGAGCTTTCTGCCTCTATACAGGCACTGCTTTTGTCTTCTGCTATGTATATACCCTGACCTTCTTTGGGGCAGTTCTTGTATTAAATCATAAAAGGGAGCAAGGAAACCGACACTGGCTGACTTGTATGCGTGTGGGAGTAGATAAAGATCAGGCTGAGAACTCCTGCTTGTACAACGCTTGCTGTGTCGGCAGCTGTTCCAGGCAGTCCTCTGAGCCAGAAGGGGAACATCCAATGAGCATATTCTTTAAAGAGTATTACGGGCCTTTTTTTACAAATAAATGGGTCAAGCTACTCGTGGTGTTGCTGTACGGAGCGTATTTGGGTGGCAGTGTTTATGGGTGTACTCAGATCAGGGAAGGCATCGATCTTCGAAATCTGGCTAATGATGACTCTTACGTTATTCCATACTATGATGATGATGAGAAATACTTCTCGACGTATGGACCCAGGGTCATGGTTGTCATTCCTGAGAGGGTAGATTACTGGAATGAGGCGGTTCGTCGTGGCATTGAGAGCTGTGCACAGAATTTGGAGAACATTTCCTACGTTGATAAGAACCTCTCAGAGTCCTGGCTGAGAGTATACACAGTACTCGCTGAAAGCAGTTCGATAAATATAAACGATAAGACTCAGTTCTTTAATAACTTACCTGTACTGTTCAGCATTCGTTCCAGTTTTGCGTGGGACTTAAACAAGACTCAGGATGAAATAGAAGCTTCACGTTTCTTCCTCCAGACAGTGAACGTGACCTCAGCCGTTGATGAGAAGAATCTTCTCAATCAGTTAAGAGAGACAGCCAGGCAGTGCAGTATTCCACTGAAGGTGTATCACCCGGCATTCATCTACTACGACCAGTACCTGGTAATAGTGCAGAACACCGTTCAGAACGTTGCCGTTGCTGCCGGGGCAATGCTCGTTGTCTCCCTTCTGCTCATTCCCAACCCGTTGTGCTGCCTGTGGGTGACTTTTGCAATAGCTTCTGTTATAGTTGGTGTGACGGGTTTCATGTCGTTCTGGAACGTCAATCTCGATTCCATATCCATGATCAACCTGGTCATTTGTATAGGGTTTTCGGTAGATTTTTCTGCTCATATTTCCTATGCCTTTGTTACGAGTGGAGAGTCATCAACCAATAAAAGGGCAATCGAAGCGCTGTCCCTGCTCGGTTACCCGGTATTACAAGGTGCAGTTTCTACTATATTAGGAGTTGTTGTCCTGGCTGCAGCAAAAACCTACATCTTTAGGACCTTTTTCAAGATCATGTTTCTTGTCATTTTGTTTGGCGCTCTTCATGGTCTTGTTTTCATTCCAGTGTTTTTAACATTTTTTGGAAAATTTGGCACATCACCCCACAATACCAAATCTGAAAATCCAGAGCTTAGCTTAAGAAATTATAAAGATTGCTCATGACTACATTAAATATGTTCTATTTTATATATATTATATATTGATTGAAATGCAGTGACTTTCAGGGAATGTAAGAAATGAAAAAAATGAAGGACGGAAAAATAAATACATCAGGGAAGGAAGGCTTCAAAAAAGCCATGCAAGAAAAACAACAGAAGAAATGAAAACTTAGAAAGTGCATTTGCATTTCTCATTTTTGTGTGTGCTTGATTCAACATCTTAATGTTGTTAAATATTTTTTGTGTTTACTGAATGTATTAAAATGACTCCTAAGCCTGCAGGAGACAAAGTCTGCTTAGGCTCCTAATGCAGCACAAGAAACCGTTGGTGAAGACAAATGGACTCGCATTTTCTGTTCAAAGCCTTATTGTCTTGGTGATCTGTTTTCTAGCTAAGATTAAACATTTGGTACCTTTAAGAAGATTGTGTGTATCTTCTGTTGGCTGCAGTTTGCAAAGGGATATGCTGTAGGTTATTGAAGTTGTGTGGACCTCCTGAGTAACCACCATGGAAGATGCTGTGCCATGGCACGACAGGACAAGGATTCACTAGGGAGAATCATGTCCTGATTGAGAGCAAAATGGAAAAACAACTCAAGTTTGAGCAGGTCAGTCCTAAAACTGTAAACCCATAAATTCCACCGTGTTCACCAGTGACAGCCCATCCTTTGACATGTTGATAGAGCAGAGGAGCTCCCACTGAATAAGAGCTAAGAATATATGAGGTCGTCTTCTGACGTGTAGGGACAAAACAGTGGGTGAGAAGTCAATTCTTAATTTGTTGCCAAAATAAGGAGCAACCCATTGGAAATCAAATGATGGTAACTGATGTTTGTAATTTTGGAAAAATTGCTCTCTACAACTGCCTGAAAGGAGGTTGTAGGGAGGTGGGAGTCAGTCTCTTCTCCCAAGGAACAAGTGACATGACAAGAGGAAATGACCTCAAGCTGTGCCAGTGAAAGTTAGGTTGGATATTAGGAAAAATTTCTTCACTGAAAGGTGGTCAAGCATTGGAATAGGCTGCCCAAGGAAGTGGTAGAATCACCATCCCTGGAGATGTTAAAAAAAAAAACATGTGGATGTGGCACTTAGGAATGTGGGTTAGTGGTGAATATGGGGATGCCGGGTTAATGGTTGGACTTGATGCTCTTGGAGGCTTTTTCCAACCGTAATAATTCTATGGTCTGAAGAGTAATGATTACACTTATCATTAAGACATGTCATAGATCACTTTCTAAAAGCAAAAATAAATTAAGCACAAAGCAGTTTTTGGAGGAGTACTTAACATGCATGAAACCAGAAGTGCATTTCAGCTGATGCATCTTTCCAGGTCTACCTTTATCCCTAGGTGCTAGAGCTTTTTGGAGATTGATTTGGCTTTTTTGCTTTTTGGAAATTGAAACAAATAAAACCACCAATCGCCCTACCACATCTCCCCTCTACCTATGACAGCCTGAGAATTTTTATACTAAATTCTTTATAAAAGGTATCCTGAACTTTCCTGCAAATTATGTTAAGTTTCCTTCTAATTTCAGTTTTTCTGTGATCTTTCTATCTGGAAAGATAAACCAAATTTGGGGGTGTTGTTTCATCACTAAGGCAGTTGAATATTCTGCAGAAGTAGCTCTGTAATAATGAATAAATGTTAAAAAGAGTTGCAATGCTGTGGAGCAAAAGAGGAAGTTTTGTTCCTAGAAGGAGAAACAATTCTTGAAATAGTAGTCAAAGATTGAACACTTGTATTAATCTTAGAAGTTAGTTGCCGAGTTCAAAGTCAAAACCCAGTGCAACTACAGCCCATATGGTACATCACTAAATTTCAGAATTACAGCCAGCAGCATTAAATTTTCAGGACAGGGCACTAACCACAAAGCTAGATCTGGGAAAAAACAAACCAAAACCAAATCTTAACCGCATGCACCAGAGTCCCCTCTTCTCCCATGAAATGTTTCATTGTCCATATTAGTGCTTTTATTATGGTATGCAGTACAGCCATTTCTGCACTGATGATGCTGTGGAAGGAGCAGAGGATGCACTCACATTGGCCAACACCAGAGGAAGGCCTCTCAATAAACACTGGAACAGGAGTCGAGCTCTTGGAAAAAGAGAATAGAAATCTACCTCTGAGAGAAGTAGAGAGAGTGACCTATTTAAAGTTAGTACTCTCACCTCTCATCCTATTGTTTGGCCGTGTTTTAGAATATACTTTACAAATAGCTCTCCTTGCTTCTAGCAGAGGTTTCCAAGCAGATCAAGATCAAGCTACCAGTGCCTTGATTGCTTTAATTTCAGTTTAAGGGATCAAGATTTAGAAAACTGTTCTGACATTTCAGCTGACTCAGGTCATCACTGAGTAGGAAGCAGCCAGAAAGAGCAGGCCACATCTTTCTCTGAAAATTTGCGTTTTCTTTGTATTAAGCTTGATGGAAAAATTCTGGCATGCCAGCCTCAGAAATGGAGAAAATCCAGAATCATGTCCAAGTGTGAATTTCTTATTTTATATGCCACTGTGCTTGTGACCAGTTTAAGGGTATTTAAAAAGCCAACAGTCCATCTGAGCACCTAGCTGTGCCCCGTTTTCAACAGCAGGAGGCTGTGTACTTAAAGGGAACTGAGGTTATTCTCACCCTCTGACTGACATCTGGAAGCTGCCTTTGTGGGTTGACTTGGACACTAGGAACACACCAAAGCTGCTCTATCACTCCCCTCCTCAGCTAGGCAGGGGAGAGAAGATACCAAAAAGACTCATGGGTTGAGATAAGGGCAGGAAGAGATCACCAGTTACTGTCATGGACAAAACAGACTTGACTTGGGGAAATTAGTTTATTGCCAATCAAATCAGAAATAGAACCAAATATTAAAAACACCTTCCCTTCCCCCTCCCCCCCCTTTTTTCCTGGTTTAAACTTCACTGCCACTTTTCTTTACCTTCCCCCTACCGCAGAAAGGGGAGGGGGTGGGACAGGAAATGGGTGCAGTCAGTTCATCACACATCTCTGCCACTCTTCCTTCCTCAGGGGGAGGAGGACTCACTCCTCTTCTGCTCCAGTATGGGGTCCCTCCCATGGGAGACAGTCCTCTACAAAATTCTCCAATGTGGATCCTTCCTACAGGCAGCAGGTCCTCACAAACTGCTCCAGCATGGGTCCCTTCCACAGGGTGCAGTCCTTCAGGAACAGCCTGCTCTAGCACGGGTCACAAGTCCTGCAAGCGAACCTGCTCCAGTGGGCTACTCTCCAGTGGTCCACAGGTCCTGCCAGGAGCCTGCTCCAGTGCACAGCCTCCTTTGGGCATCCACCTGCTCTGGTGTGGGGCCCTCCACAGGCTCCAGGTGGAGCTCCATGGGCTGCAAGGGGAGAGCTGCCTCACCGTGGTGTTCACTACCAGCTGCAGGGGAATCTCTGCTCCAGTGCCTGGAGCTTCTCCTCCCCCTCCTTCTTCACAGACCTTGGTGGCTGCAGAGTTGTTTTTCTCTCATGTTCTCACTTTTCTCTCCTCTGGCTGCAATTGCTCTTGCACAGTAACTTCTTCCCCTTCTTAAGTGTGTTATCCCAAAGGCATTACCACTGTGGCTGATGGGCTCAGCCTTGGCCAGTCGTGGGTCCCTCTTGGAGCCTCTAGCTGTGCTCTATCAAACATAGGGAAGTTTCTGGCATCTTCTCACAGATGCCCTCCATGTAGCATCCTCACTACAAAAACCCTGCCACACAAACGCAATCCAGTGGTCTCCTACCTCTGCCCAATGATTATGTGAGGAGAAATTCCAGCTCCTAGATGCACCCAAAGAACACCAGAGGTCAAACCCAATGCCTAAACAGGTAAGTTTCTTTGAAACTCCACAGATGTCACATGCACACAACCAACCAAGAACGACAATAAACTCTTTAGTAATATCTGTGCTGTTAAGTTGGCCAGAAAGCAAAAGATCCCTTTCACACTTTATGGCTAATCTTGTAAAAATCTTTCATGATCCAGTGAAATACCACTTCTCTACTTCTATGCATATAGCAAGAAGCTTTTGAATGAGAAGAAGAAAAGTTGGACTTAAAGGACTTAACTCTCAAACAAGATCACTGAATATAGATTTTAGTGACTTCAAAAAAAAGTTTTTTTGCTTTTATTTCTAAGTGCAGATTCACGTTATTTTGCAGGAAAAGTTCCCTTTCAAGTCCCACTACAGAAGCAGTAAAAAGGTCTGAATTTCTAGGGAGAACATTCCCTAGAAATCTCATTAGAGAGAGTGCAATTTTGCCATAATTCTCAAAATTTATTTACAACTTTAAATGTTATATACACCTCAATTTACATAGTAGGGAACTTGGTATTACATTTTATAGCAATTTACAATGAATAAAAAGAAAACCAATATGCATAATTAAAATTAACCTTTATTACTCCAAAAACAGATGCCAAATATGCAGTATATTTCTGTTTCTGTTGGCATATTTCTAAAATACATGTACAACTCTAACTAGTCAGCCTAGACATTTTGTATACTGTTTTATAACATTTGGAAGTTCTCCCACACGGAGTGGGATGTCACTATAGTAAGCTGACAAAAACAGGCAAAAAGAAAGTTACTCTGGTTTTGAAAGGAAAAAAAATGCATGTGCTCCTACTAAAAAACTAAGTTATAATCAAGCATTACTCAGAAAATTCTAAAATACTGTTACTTATAGTTTTAGGTGTAGCTACCAGTTTCCACTCACACTTATTGGCACCAGCCCAACTATTTTAATGTCCAAGTACGGTAACCTTCAACATTAATATGCTAAAACAGGCCCTCTCTGCAACACAAGCTTATAGTCCCACAAGGCTACAACTGATTGTGCAGAAAGATTATTATCAAGATGTGTTATTCATAAAAGCCAGTTCCATGAGATCAAAAGATTACTGGTATTTAATTGCTAGCAATCACTTCCACTTGATTGGAAACTGCTTTTGTTTTTGAAACTTTTTTCTTATTTTCTTAGAATTTCCAGAGGTTTCTGCACGGATTGAAAGAAAAGGTTTTATTTCTTTACTTCTACTGTACAACAGAACTGGGAATGTTATTTGAAACAACACATGCTTCAAACATTTTCTGAACTACTCTTTAGTAAGCAACATTGCCCTCTTTGAAGAAATTATCTGTTGGATTATCAAACACCCATACATAGTATTAGTAGAAACTAATTCTGTAGAATCTTCAGCAGTGTAAAAGCACTGTCATCAAACCACTGTCATCCATTTACTACAGTTATAAAAATTTTAAGAATCTTGTCAGCAGCACATCAGAGATCACAGGTATTTCTCTTATCCCTGCCATGGTTCTGCCCCAAACATCGTCCAAAGAGGCTTAGACACATTTAGCCTGTTGGTTTTGCATTAAAATTTCTCTCCCAGCCATACACGTGTGTAATTTTAATCCCAAGAGTACTGGAAACATGACCACTGATGTTTTTGCCTAACATGGAGCTCCCACAATGTAGCTACTTCATTCGTAGAGATGTCTTGTTACATTTCTAAATAAGAAGTCTTTAATAGTGGTCTCTAGCCTCAAATAGAGTATGAGCATTAGTTACACTACACACTACTGTTTTACATCTCTGTCACTCTCCATAACACATTCCATAGCACACACTGTGAGGTATCACTTCAAATGCACACATAGCAGCATGGCCCAGGATGCTGTGCCAAGACACACCAGTGTATCTGCACACTTTTCTTCTCAGCTTCAACACATTTGATTGAACCAAAATGCTGAATTCAACCCTGAGATTTAGCCGCCTGAATAACTTCTTGTGCGAAGAGTATAGGGAACAGAGGATGAGAAACTAGCTTTATTTTGTGTCTTTTTCTGATGAGACACAACAAATAGATGAGTTAACAGAAGCTCACAAGAGACAGACTAATATTAAGTGACACTAATGCCATACACACATCAGGAAGAGAAAAAAAGGCTATGCTGCGTAAGACTACTGCATTGCTAGATGTACATTCTTCAAATTATCAGTTACATATCCCAGAAGTTATCATCTTACTTCTAGTTTTTTCCCCTCTAGAACAATTTGGATTTCTTTGGCATCCAAAGTCTCATATTTCAATAAAGCTTCTGCTAAATTCTTGTGTTCTTTTGCATGAGTCTTCAGGATGTTCTTTGCTCGCTCATATGAGTCCTAATATTAAAAACAGGTAGAAGGAGATTTTAAGATTTTAGAACAAAAACAACAGCAAGATGGCACTTTAAAAACTGCTTCCAGGAAATACAGCTTGAAACAAACATTTAAAGTTGTGCCTTATATTTCATAGCTAGCACAGCTCCTGACTCATGAAGATTTAAAACTCAGCTGGCATAATTTTAATGAAAAACAACCAAACACTTTATGTCACCTTTATTTTGCATAAGTAGGACTAAAAATAAAATCCTGAGACAAACCTTAGTATTTTTATATATGACTTAGACAAGACTTACTAAATTTGAAAATTTCCTGATTTTTATAACAAGTATATTTAGTTTTGCATTATGAGTAGAGCTACAGCATTCACAGATTATTCCTTAAAGGCTAATAAAACTCCATTATTATGCATTTTTAAAAAGCTGAAAGCTACCAGCTACTGAAAGTTACCAGTTGCTGCAGTAGATGCACACTGCCAGCATTACCAGCTTCAACCTGTTAGTCCTGCATCGGTAGTTCTCACATGACCAAGTCAGTTCAAAAACAACTACAGCAGAAGTTTGATCATTTAAATGTTACGATATAAGTAATTTTCCTGCCTGTACCAAACTATTTCAGACTACCACAGCCAGTGATTGCGAAGTTCAGTGATTATCAAATGTTACAGATTTCCCTAAGCATCTGACACTGATCCCTGTGAGGAAGAGGATACTGAAGGCAACTCTTTGATGTGGTATGGCCATTCCTGTGATTCTATACAAAATTATAGTTATGAAAGATGAAAGTAACATAAAACATTCACATCTATTCTAAAACAATTTATAGCCATACTTTTTTCCCTATTAATTGAATAGGCAAAATACAAATCCTGACCAAATGTAAGAGGAAGTGTTAAAGAGTGTACTAAAGGACCCAACACCACCAACTCGATTCACACTACTTGTGCATGGCAATCACCAAGTTTTGACATGCACAGATTCAAAGTTGCAGCTACATTAAATACTTCAGAATACTTTCATCCACCTGTATCTTTTCACCAGTATACATCATAAAAATGAACAATCAAGCAAACAGATATTCAACACATCTCAAACTAAACGTATCAGAGTGGAGGGGGAGAGACTTACCCGTAGAAGCGTCCTTACTTCCTGTTCAATTGCAGACTGGGTTTCAGGGCTGACTTTCCCTGTATCAGTGTAGGTCATAACACCAAGCTAAACAACAACAAACACATCTTTATCTTGCCACTGTTGCAAGATCCTGATTAAGCATTTTCTTCCAGAAAAAACAAACCAAAATCCCTAGACTACTAACACTTGATGGGTAATAAACATGACTAAAGGAGCTTCTAAAGAAAATTCAGTGTTGTTACCGTCCTCACCCTCCCAAACCCAAGATTACCCTCAATTCCAAAATGCTTGGCTTTATAACTATTTCCTGAAGATATTAGTAACTTTCAAGGCCATTTTGAGGTGAAAATCCTCTAAGGTAATTTTTAAACTGTCAAGTACATCAGTTTTCTAGTTGAGCTTTCTATAGCAGGTCAAAAGGTTTACTCTTTTTGTCAAAACTACTTACACTAGTCTCAGTGATCACTGACACCCACATAAGCTTTAATTATAGAACAGAACTTGTCTTTGTTCCATATAAATATTAAAGGATTGACAACACTACCTTCTCACTCATTCCGAATCTAGTCACCATCAGTTTTGCAATTTTAGTAGCGTTGTCAAAATCACTGGAAGCACCTAGAGAGCAAACAGATCTAAGTCACATTACTGAAACCAACTTAAACATGCCAATTCACACCCTTGATCCAAAACCTTTTTAAATACCAATCAGCTGACCTGTCGTGATGTGATCAGTTCCAAATATGAGCTCTTCTGCTACTCTTCCTCCCATACAGACATCCATCTGTGCAAGCAACTGGGATCTAGTCTCACTCCATCTGTCATTTTCTGGGAGCAAAGACACCTGTAAGATACAGAACTGTGGTCAGGTAACAAAAAAACCTGAAGAAATACTGAAATAACCTCAAAAATATTCTTGTTTATATCCAAAGCAGATATAAAGGCTTTTACGCAACACTTTAAATGCTCTGGGCCTCCTCCATGTCTGTGCACTCATCAGGTTTGCTTGGAGGTTTTTAGTTTAACCACTGAAATAACTTCCAACAGACCATGAGCACCACATCAAATTGAGCAACTTACACCTATCACCAAAAAAACCCAGAACAATCCGTTCTCCTTATTCCCTACACTGAGCACAAATCAGCTTGCCCAGAGGATTCAGGCCAATGGTTTTCATTAACTGAACACATCAACTTGGAAAAAGTTCAACAGAAATAGATACAATAGAAATATTTTTCTGTACAAATGCTTGGCAGCTAAGGGCAAAATAGAAAAACTTAGGGTTCTATGCTAGAAACAAGACAGGTAACCAGTTAAGTTTAGAAAAGCCACACTGGACAAAGAGCAACTTGATAAAGGATGTTTGTGTTAGAAGTAAAGTTCAGCTGTGCTTCTACTTACCAGTCTTTTAGACATTCTTCAAAGTTTTGCTGTTGGGTGCTATTTTAACTATAGCAGAATCAAACTTCTATTTCTTTCCTTGTACGTTTGAGTTGTTATACTAGTGTATGCCAATTTACTTTTAAATGAAGGAAGAAAGCTTTCTATCACACAGAAAAGATGACCAGTGGGTTTTCCAAGAAATTGCTCATAACTGAGTATTTCAACAGATTACAATATACAATAACATAAACACAACAAACAGCATTGTTGGCAAATTCCTCAACGCCACCAAACCAACAGAAAAATAAAACTAAAGAAATACTAATAAATAAAATAAATACTAATAGAACTAGATAGATTAAACACTCACGTGTCCCAGTGTTGTTCCTCGTGTCATGATTGTGGCCTTGTTGATTGGCATTGCATCCTTAGTATAATATGCAATGATGGCATGTCCAGACTCATGGTAAGCAGTGATGGTTTTGTTTTTCTCATCAATTTCTACACTTCTACGTTCAGGTCCTTAAACAGAGGAAAATTAAATTAACTTTTTTGTACAGCTGAACCACCACAATCCACCCATTGCATATACTCAAACAGAACACAAAGCAGCTGAGGAACAGCATGCAAACAAAGGGAACTGACACTCATTAACTGCAAAATATTTACGAGTCAGATTTTAATGTCTAAAAATGGACCTGAACATACTCTACAAACAAGCTGCTTTTAAAGGAATAGATTTAAGATGCAATCTAAGTAACTGAAAAAATTCCATGTCTTTTCTCAAGCAGGAACAGATCAGATTGTTAGTGTTTATGTCTCAGATGTTTAAGCTTTGTGCTATCACAGGACAAGCTAGTTAAACAGAAGTTCCAGGTTTCTGGTCATTTATTTGCTCCTTTCCTTTATGAGTAAGTAGGGGAAGGATAAGAAATCAAGCCTGTGTCTCCCTCTGAGTTGAAGTACAAGATGCATTTTTGATTTTAAAAAGAGTATCAAGTTTTAAAGAGTTTTACGTATTGCTCGCTGGTCCCAAAAACTTCTATTCAGAAGTAACTAATAAGAGACTTATTTGTTAAAAAACCACAAAAACCAAAACCAACAACAACAAAACAAAAGCAAAAGAAAACAAACAACAACAACAAAAAAACAACAAAACATAAAACAAAAGAAAAAAACACAAAAGAAAAAAACACAAAAGAAAAAAACACAAAAGAAAAAAACACAAAAGAAAAAAACACAAAAGAAAACAAACAAACAAAAAAAAAACAACAAAAGAAAAAACAAAAGAAAAACAAAAGAAAAAAACACACACAAAGAGAAAAAAACACAACAAAAAAACACAAAAAAAAAACACAAAAGAAAAAAACAAAGAAAAAAACACAAAGAAAAAAACACAAAGGAAAAAACACAAAGAAAAAACACAAAGAAGAAAAAAACCAAAAGAAAACACACAAAGAAAAAACAACAAGAAAAAACACAAAAGAAAAAAAAACACAAAACAAATAAAAAAACAAAAGAAGAAAAAACACAAAAGAAAAAACAAAAAAAAAACACAAAAGAAAAAAACAAAGAAAAAAACACAAAAGAAAAAAAACACACAAACACAAAAGAAAAAAAAAAACACAAAATAAAAAACACACAAAAGAAAAAAACACACAAAAGAAAAAAAACACACAAAAAAAAAAAAAACACACAAAAGAAAAAAACACACAAAAGAAAAAAACACACAAAAGAAAAAAACACACAAAAGAAAAAAACACACAAAAGAAAAAAACACACAAAAGAAAAAAACACACAAAAGAAAAACACAAAATAAAAACCAAAAAAAAACAACAAAAGAAAAAAGCAAAATAAAAAAGAAAAAAACACAAAAGAAAAAAACACAAAAGAAAAAAACACAAAAGAAAACAAACAAACAAAAAAAAAACAACAAAAGAAAAAACAAAAGAAAAACAAAAGAAAAAAACAAAACAAAAAACCCAAAACAAAACAAAAACACCAAAGCAAACCCCGAAAAACAAAACAACCTAATGCAAAAAGAAAGAAAACAATCAAAAAAAACCCCGCAAAAAAAAATCAATCCAACAATCCAAAAAACAACAGCAAAAAATTTCTCTCTTTCCCTATAAAAGTCTTAATCACATAAGAAAACCTCTGTGTACTGTAATATACATGTATGTCTTTTGTATAAATCCTACCCATTAGAATTTTGTCCTTGGAGAATTCTAGTTCCTTCATGGTTACCATATCTTTTCCATCAACAGCTGCCTTCAGGGCAGCTTGATTCACAAGATTTTCAAGCTCTGCTCCTGAAAATCCTACTGTGCCTCGTGCAATTATTTCTGGATCAACAGCTGTGGGGGAAAAAAAAAGCCCCAAACAAATTTGTCATTAAGAGTCCATATTGCTCCCGCAACTGTAAGCAAGAATCATGTTCTATTAAAACATGCATTAAACAAAGAATTTTCAGTATTAGAAGAAATGAAGCCTAATTGTCAAGACACTCTGAACTGTCAGGGATTAGAAAGAAACACTGCCTCAGAAAATCGTTACAACACTACATATTAGGCAATTTTTGTGTTCTTTATTAAAGACACATGGTAAAGCCATAATTGCCAATGTAATAAAGGGCAAACACATGAGGGGGCCGATACAGTATAAAAACTGTTACATAAAAAGATACTATAGTATTTACTTACATGGATCATACTTGATTTTATTAAGGTACCACTTCAGAATTTCTGTACGACCTCTCACATCAGGCTTGGGAACAGTAACTTGCATATCAAAGCGACCAGGACGTATTAGAGCACTAAAGGAAATGGCAATTTAGTACACTGACTGAAAAATGCTGCAGTAAACTTACTAACATATCAAGGAACAAAAATTCATTGCTATTTCTAAAAACACCTACAAAGATTATGTCTCATGCACAGATGCAAAGAATATGTTTTTCTTATCTGCTTATAAAAAGACCGATGAAAGATGTTTATTGACAACATGTTTTAAAGGGCTTTTTGCATTTGAAAATTTTGCACTGTGAACAAGGAATTCAGCCAGTCAAATTTTAAATGCTAAGAAGCACATTACTTATTTCTTCAGTAACTCTGCAACATATATTAAATACCAAAAACTGTCATACACATCCTTTTTAAGAGGGAAAAACCCGAGCCGTAACACTGTAATACCTGAAGATTATCACAAGCAACTTTGTTGTTGTTGCAGGTGTTTTTTGTTTGCTTTTTAATATATGCTCTGTAAAAATGATCAATGCATTATACTCACTTATCTAATGCTTCAGGGAAGTTTGTTGCACCAATAATAACAACACCTTCATTCGGTTTAAATCTGTGTGGATAAAAGGTGAGAACTTTTTTTTGGACACAGAAATTACAATTTTGTCCATAAATACTTCTGTCACTTAGTACAGTGACTTCACTGTCAAGTCAAAAACGACATTGAACCCAACAACTGTTTAAAAACATACTCTGATCTGACTTGAACTTCATCCTTTAGATATATAATCAGGCTAAAAAAAATTGCAGCTACTGTGTGACTACAACTCAGAAGCTTCTATAATTCTTTACAACAAGGCCATTAATGCAACTGCTGGCAGTACTAGAAAGTAGTCATAAAAGCATATTAAATTTATATCCTTAAAATCGTTACAAAAACTTACGTAAAACTTCAAAGCTGTCAAGGAGAAAAAGTTCATCCAAACGTCCAGAATACCAGTTAGTCAAACACCTTCTGTGCCCTCAGAATCCATATACTTACCCATCCATTTCAGCGAGAAGTTGATTAATGGTCTGTCTTGAATAGGGGTGCATTGGAGATTCAATTCTCTTCCCACCAACAGAGTCCAATTCATCAATAAATATAACGCAAGGTGCATTTGCTTTTGCTTCCCCTGACAAAAGGAAAATAGCAGAAGGGCGTTGAACCACACAAAGGAGCAAACAGTGTATCATGTAATTTAAGATTCTATTTTTCTATTACTCTTGGGTTATAAAGTGTTCTATTAGAAATCATCAGAATTGTCTCGATTTTAGCTTAAAACAAAGGAAATGTATTTCTGAAATGGAGAGACACAAAGAGAAGCAAGGTTTTTAATCTCTTCATCAGTTATTCTTATCACGCTACAAGAAATCACCAGTAAAATAGATTAGGAAATTGTTGTATTTTGTATGAACTCCCTACAACAGTTTCTTTCATAGGCTTGGGTAGAGAACATTTGCCTATTAAATAAAATCAATATGATATGTGATGATTCTCAACACTAACTTATTTTAATAGAACCTGCTTGTTATTTAACTGTGAAGGGCTCACACTCAAGTTTACAGGTATTAAAAACACAAAATAAAATTGCAGCCATAAAGTTGGAAACCACTGGTTAGTACATGCATGCCAAGATGCAACTTATTCACCCAGTCAGACATATCTGTAATGCTATCAACGTACAAGTCAGTCATTTAAACTTCTAAAGTTAACAGAAGGAAATGCATTTTTAAGGTACTACACTTATTACATTTTGCATCCCTTCCACATGAAGCAAGTCATGTTTCTTCTACAAATGCAAACTACTTTGTACATTGCACATATTTGACACTACCAATTATCCATTTAAGTGAGAAGCTGGATATCCCCCTCCCCAATAATATTTGCATACTTAAAACAGAAAGCCTCTTTTGTGAAAGTTATAAATCTAATCATTAATTTTGAAAGTTTCATTATAATGCCCTTTATTTTGAGCCTGTTGATGGGTGTGAGAAAGGAAATGTCAGCTTATTGCTATGCTGTGATACCATAAAGATCTAATTCAGATTAACAAAAAATAAAAATATGAGGGAAGTAATTAAGAAGGTTAACACTATTTTTAACCTTAAATTTACAATTCAAAATTTACAACAATTTATGTGTGACTAAGTTTATAATTTCAAATATTTCATTTAGTTTATAGGACATTTCATTTCTAATTAAATTACTTTTTCTTTCTTGGACTGTTACACATCAGTTATAATCTTTGCTATAATTTCATCTGATGACTAGGAAGATTCTCCAGTTAAACAATGCTCACAGAATTCTAACATTTACCTACAGAAGTAAAGCTTTATTTATTAGCCTCGTGCACTTTTACTTTCCAGTAACCAGAACTGGAACTAATCAAACCATATAAACACCACTGAATACTTAATCTCCCACATGAAAAGATTTCAAACCCGCAAATATTTAACTTACTGAACAGGCTTCGGATGCGACTCGCTCCTACACCAACAAACATCTCATCAAACTCTGATCCAGACGCATAATAAAATGGAACATCAGCTTCACCAGCTACAGCTCGTGCAAGAAGTGTTTTACCAGTTCCAGGTGGTCCAACTAACAGAATACCTAAAAGACACACAAAAAACCCAAACAACAAACCCACCAAATCCAGACAGTCTTATTATATGGGTAGTTTCTTTCGTAGATTAGAAGAAATAATTTACACTTGGCTTCAAAAAGCTATTAACATCCCATTTCAGATACTGCTCATTACGTGCAGCCTGAAGGAGCTTCCTGTAACAAATCTAGATACAATCTGATGCACATTTAAACAACACAAAGACAAACAGAAACCTAAAGTATTCTACAAAATTACTACTGAGTTTAGCAGCTGAATCCCTAAGTGTTTTCTTCAAACTGACATTTTCCTGGCTGCTTCAGTGGAACTTTTTTTTTTAATTAAATTATTCCAAGTAATTGTCTTTAAACAGGATAGAGCACTAACAAGAAACAGACTTATCAGGTTTATGTATTTCAGATTCACTTAGGACTTCCACTATGATCAATATTAATCATCCTTTTAAATGAAAACATTTGTTTCTGAGCTGTCTAAGCAGTTAACGAGCACTAAAGGTGCTGCAAGCCATAAGGAAGAAATAAAGGCCTTTTAAGAGTTCAGTTACATAAATCCCCAGGGTACTGTTTATTAGTTTAATAAATAAAGAAGGCACAGTAAATTTTGTCTAACTCCAAAATTCTCATTTGCATAATACATGAAAAAACCAGTAAGAAACTTGGCTGTAAATAAGTCACTCAGTATAGAACAAGCTACACAGCCATGGCTAAATAGGTCTTTCACTTCTGCTGAGCAATGGTTCTTACCTTTTGGAAGTTTACCTCCTAATACAGTAAATTTATGTGGGTTTTTCAGAAATTCCACAACTTCTTGCAATTCCTGTTTTGCTTCTTCAACCTACACATTAAAAACATGACACAAATATAACTAAGCATTTATAAAATACTGCATGTTTTCTGTATGAGTTTTGTAGTAGAGATTAAGTCCCTAATTGCGTATTGATCAAAAATACAAACAGAAAACAATAAAAGTGTACCACAACATTTGTGTGGATACCAACTGTCCATGCATTTAATTCAACCTATCCTAGAACTGCTCACAGGAATAAGTAAACATTAAACTTAGTAACAATGAAGGAAAAACCCAACAGTTCAAGACCAGATCTGAACAACAACATAAATACAAAATCAAAGTTCTACATCAAGATATTAGTCTAATTAATTCTATCTGTCCGAGGAGAAGGAAAGGGGAGGTCCTCATTTTGCCACTAACAGTCAAAGAACAACTGAACAGAAAAAATAAAGCTATCCCATAAGCGTGACATGCCCACTTTTTTCTGGGATTCTCCGTATCTCCTGTCCTAACATCAGAAAGAGATGGCACTAAGAGAGAAACAATCAAATGGCCTTATCATCTTCTTGTATCAATCAACTTCTGCATATAATAGATTAACATGGCTATTTATGGCCTGCCTTTTGCTATTCTAGCCTTTAAAAATGTCACTCAACAAGTAGAGTGCACCTTTTATAAGCTACTAAATGCCACAAAAATATAGACTAGAACAAGAGTGGTCTAAGCCTTCCTTCATCTTGGAGTGGCCAACATATACAAAGCTTCAGTTCATACAAAGAAATTTCTTAAACAGAGTAAGACATTCTTCAGACTCACAATGATTAGTTAAACAAGAACTTGCAGACATTTTACTTTTAAGCTTACCCCTTTTACATGTTCGAAGGTGACATTTTTCAACTGGATTGGATCAACTGCTGCATCAAAGATACTTGATGTTCGAAAGCGTACTAAGAGCAAACAGCAGATGACGAACAACAAATTTACACATAAAGTCACTTCATTCCAAGACTGGATTTTGCACTTGAACTCATAACACTAAGACACCGACTTGACACCCGCCCTTTTAAAAGGGCACATGTCCATTTACAAGTGTCCAGCAAGAATAAGATTAATTTTTTTAAAAAATTCCTTAAAATATTGGCAATTCATTCAGTGATGTGCTTTTTAGTCATGTGTAGTACAGAAAACTCTGCATTCAGAGGCATGTACACAGCCAGAGCTTCTCCCCTCAGTGTTTCTGCATATACTCTTTCTTAACACCCAGGTGATACCTTAGCATCAAGCTGAATATCTCCAGTTAAATTAGCTCAGCCTTTGATCGTTCCACTGTTTCCAATGGATTTCTTGAGATGACAATTTGACAATGCAAGTTCCCAGTTGCTATAAACTAGGTTGTGATTGCAAATTCAAAAATCAAACCATTTTGCCTATAGCTGATCCAGGTAACACCATCTAAACTGAAAGACAAATACATAATTGGTAAACAGGCTGACTTCTCAGGTTCCATATAACTGCTTCACCAAAAAAAATAAAGCAATTATACTAACACACAACCTTTTTGTCTTCATAAATGCTTTGTCACATTGTCATCTGAAAGGCTGTAGCCAGAAGCAATAAATAACTCTTTCATTAGTACACTGAAACATTATCCTAAAACAATCATAATGTCAAAATATATTTCATTTACGCTAAACCTGCTGGAAGAAACAACACAAGTGCAACAGCATGGAAAAAAAAGTTAACTAACCAGCATCGGAAAAGGAACCTTTCCCAGGTAAAAATGATGAATATATAGCAAGATAAAAACAAAGAACGAAGAGAAAGAAAGAAAGCAAACGTGATCTTCTTAAGGAATCTGTAAAAGAAAAAAAAAAAAACATATTTAACCTGGGCTGAAATAAACTACTTATTGATTGCAAAGACAAAATACGAGAACTAAAACAACTTACCGAGTGTTTTTTGTAGGAATACCTGGGCTTTCAAAAAGCCTTCTGCAAAACCAGTTTTAAAAGCATCCTGGTGTGCCTCTGGGATGTTTTTTGTTTTCATTAGCGCATCTAAGTTTTCAACATCAATTCGTCGCTTTCTCAGGATAAAGCCCTGAAATATTTTCCAAAGCACTGTTAGTATACACTAAGCTTTGAGGTACAGTTAACTTACCACATAGCTAGCATGGGGGATGAGGAAAAAAATAAATCACAAAAGCAAATAATTCAGGTGCTATAGGGTTAGTTAGATGATACAGAGCAGTCGCTCGAGTGTGGAATCCCCATGGTTCGAGCAGGGGCACCCTCATTTTTGCTGAGCAAATCAGTTTCAGAGTTCTCCCAGATCCCAGTTCCAAACAGAAAACAGCCTAAGCAGATCTGTACACAACCAGATTTGTTCATTGGATTTAGTGGGAGTTATTAGCTTAAGTTTTTTGCTTTATTTCCAATTGCAAAGTATCTTTGTAAGTTTAGTTTTGATGGAGTTTAAACAAATATATTTCACATGCCCTATCAAATTTACAAGCAGCACTGCATGGAGCTAGCTCTGGTTTATCGTCATCCACAGCATATCTAGTCCACAGATGAAATAAGCCACATGTGCCAAAAAGAAGGGAAGAGTTCAAAGATAATTTACACACGCAATAAGATCAAAGGCCTTAATTGGCCTGACTTCTGCACAACCAATCAGAAGCAAAGAGTACCTAGGTTAATTTGGTTTCATTATCTGCTGACTTGAAAACATACATTCTGGTATGTCAAACTAGCTGTACTTCTGTTCAAAGTAATTAATTTGACTCAAAGCTATTTTTAACAAAGGCACAGAAACAGAATACAGAAAGTTTTATTTCTAGAGTTTAAAACCATATTTATACTCTGAAACTATTCAACTAAATATCCAAATAATCTTTGTATTGGTGATATATGAAGCAAATACGTGTATTAATGAGAAAAAAAATAGGTTGCAATTAGCTCAAGTTTTTGAATTAAAAAATTCTTTCATACTAATGAAAGAAAATACCCCTGGAAAATTATGAAGGCTCATTCAAGAGAAAGAGGTGGTCTGAATAAGCCCAAAAGAACTTCATAATGTTACTCATATTTACCTTCAAAAGTGAAGAAAGTGAACTTTTTGTTTCTGTGAATTGTTCAGATGTTGACTGTAGGCGTCTTGCTCTTGATCTCAAAGTCTTAAAGTTCCGTGACTGTATGTACACTTTAAGCAGTAAAAATAAATAAAAGTTAAAAATTACTCATTATTATCACTATTAAAAAAATAGTCTAAGAAATTTCAGAAACTCTTACACGAAAGAATACAGAATACAATCTTCCCAACATATCCACTGTACTGTAAATGGATACTTTGGTAACCACAAACCATATTTGTAATCTGAACTTGCACACTAGCTGCTCACTGTTTCACATAAAATTTTATGTTAAAATGATCAGGAGCTCATGTGAATTATAGATTGGTCAACTCAGGGAATAGGAGACATGCAGCTGAATTAAATTCAGGCAGGCTGATAAACATGAAGCATTCAGAAGCAAATCCAGAAGGATGAGAATAAAGCCTTATCTACGAGCCCAGCTGATAAGGTGCCCTGAGGAGATCTGGAAGGGCTTAAGTGTGCTGTTACCTTAGGAACTGACAAAAGAAACCATTTAATCACAGTGATCTTATAGCATTATACGCCATCTCCTATCACATCAGAAACCTTGTGATGGAGATTTTACCACATAAATCCCAGAAGCCAAGAATATTTATCTTTTTTCACTACCTTTTAAAATAAATGTCAATGCCAGTCAATTATATAGTTTTCACTAACTTTTTTGTTATACTATAACAGCACCAGATAAAAAGAACTTTGAACCCTGCTCAAAAAAGGCCTAAATTCAACATTTGATCAGGCAGCTCTGCAGTACTTTAAAGCAACCACCAAAGCCCTCAGAAAGCTTAACTGGATGAGAACAGGATTGAACATATTTATTGATTCAAAAATAGTCACTTCATCTGTGATCTTTAAGAATATGATGCACAAATACTGACATCTTGAAACAAGATTCTATGGCAACACGATGTTTACTAACTTAATCTTGAAACGTACTTCAAATGCAAAAATAACTTCATGACCGAAAGTGTCGACATCACATAAAATTCCTCCTGGAGCTTACTGTATTTCCTGAGTGATGCCTTTACAACAAATGTAAAAACACATTCCCAGACTAGAAAAATACTATAGAGATTAAAAACAATGTAGTTTATTACTTTATACCTGGCCAACATCGAACACCTGAACAGAAATTTTGGAGGGGATTGGGATGTTGTCTGTACAAACAAGATGAGCGTAAAACACTGAAAACATCCACAAAACCTGTAAAAAGATGCAGCAAAGTGTAAATACATCCTATTTTAAATGGCAACTCAATATTAGTTCTAGCACAGTTTGGCTTTTTTTTCCTTTCTTAAACAATACAGTCCTTCAGGCATCTTTAATTAAACAAATTACCAGAACATCTATCAAAGCTTTGAAGCATTTGCAACTATTTTGTTCAGGCAATTGTCTCTAGGCTATTTTTTTTTTTAATATCTCATATCACAATGCACTTTAATACTTTTTCTCAAATAGCAGCCCTAGGGTATTACTCATAATACTCTTTCTCCCTATTGCTATACACTATAGGCAGTCTCTCAAATGTTAGGTCTATGCTTCTTTTTCTAATACTTTCTTCAGCATATATTAGCATTCTACAATGGCCTTACTTCCTGCATTTTAGACTAATTCCAACAAAAAAATCTTTAACTGTAAGGAACCATTCTTGGTTCATTTCAGACACAAAATACTCTACATGGACTGTCAGCAGTTTACCACACGAATTCTTTTCTAATTAATGTCTTTGTATAACGTTGCTTCAAGAAAAAGGGAACACCGATGTAAACTGGAGATGTTTGTGATCGTGTAACATTAGTAGATTAGCAAAATCTAATGTCTTGGTGAAACAAACTGGTGGAAAAATTCGCAGCTCAGGTTTGTCATTAAGACAAATGAACTTGTACTACCAGCTGAGTTCAGACAAGTTTAACAGCAGACAATTTCAAATCTGAATCTGAATTTTTCTAAAATTCCCAAGTTTCAAAAACACCACTCTAGAGACAATCTATATACAATTAAAAATACATTAAATATGCTTTTTAACTATGAATTATCTACAGCACAAGAGATTAAACTAAAGAATAACTGTATTCACCTTAATAATTTAACTCTCACAATTCTCATAAGCACTTCACTCAAACATACCATGCTTATTTTCAAAGAAGGACTGAGCAGAGACGTACGACGTGTGCCACTGTGAAGAGGTTTTGTTTTCTGCACAGTAGCCAGGAAGTAACCTGTTCACCAACTCTTTGAACTGGTTAGGTTTCAAATCAGACAATCCCAGGTCTCTTAAATTTTTAACTAAAGACTGAAAAATAGAAATAAACGTTCAAAATTCCTTTAAGACTACCTTAGGGAAAAAAACTCCCAGTAGCACCAGAAGCAAATACAAATTCATACACAGACAAAGAAAAAAACCAAAGAAACAACAATGGAATCACAACATGGCAATGAATAGTACAATCCATGCTGACTTCCGAAATTCTGCAGTTAATGAGAGACTCAGTGTTTTTCCTCCAAAAATTTTCTTCGTTTTAAAAATTGTTGAAAGAAATTAGTTAAAAGAGAAGTGGCAAGATCTGATACTACTTTGCACCTCCTGTGTTTTAATTTTTAATGTCAAGAACAAGGAATACCTAATAATAATAAACGACTTTTTAATAGAAAAATAAAAAAACCATGCAAATATGCTATTTAGTCTATAAAAAACCTTCAATGTATCTTAAATTACAGTCAATTTTCTCACAAGTAATAATGAAAAACCTTGCTAGAACTTAGAGAGAAAAGACAACATGTAGTTTGTTAAGTTATTGTTACTTTAGAGAAAAAAACTTAAGTTGAAAGTGAAAACAAATCCCCTCCTCATTTGCAAATTACTGAGACAAATACCAGCTTTGTTTCTTAATGAAATACTGCAATTTTTGTAGATTCCTGACTGATGAAGCACCGACTGACTGCAGTTCTGTCAAAAAGTTACATTCTACATGGTAACATTCTGTTTTAGCCACATTACATTATTTTATAAACCAGTTGAGTATTAAATTCACTTAAACTAGTATTATTCAGATTTAATTTAGTTCAAAGCAAAACATCACTTTTTCTAAAGCTTTTTAGTACCTCAGTCTTCTGAGCCTCGTGCTCTGGGGAGGTGTCCCTCTGGACAGGCTGTATGGATGCTTTGCTGGCAGTAGTAGTGGAACTTTTTGGTGAATGAAAGGCATTGATAAGGTGACTCAGAGGAACAGTAGCCTGGGGGAAAAAAATCAGATAATGATTTAACCTTGATTAAACTATTTAAACATATTTCTATTCCAAACCCTGACTTATATTTGTGTATCTTGTACATTGCCTTTTAACTAAGGACTTCGGCTTCAACACCACAATGTTAGCTGATACCTCAATTAAAAGGGGGGGGGGGGGAAAGAAACTTTAAGTGCACACAACAGATTAGAAGCTCACAAAGCTAGGAAGAGGAAAGAAAAAACAAAATGGGCTGTATTTTCATCTATAAAGTAATATTTCTACAGTTTGAAATATCTGTACTTTTCCTGCATTATACGAGTTATTCCCAAAAGCTGCCTTTATGTTTTCTTCCTTGGGAGTTCACTTTAGCAACACACCTAATATACACGTAGACAGTCAAATCTGCAGTTCAGCAGCTTTCAGCTGACTCCACCTCATGACTCAGAACAGAAGCCCAGGTGCACCACTTATCAGGGCTCCTCCTCTAGCACATGACCACATCTCTTGTGAATATACGGTACAAATAATTCCAACACTTCCAAAGTCTCAGCACACATCACTAAAATGAGCTGAGGTGCAACTGTGGCTGCTGGAATGATATCTGACTGAAGCATAATCAGGTATGCCTGTGAATTCTTCTGCAAGAACTTCCATCTCTGTGTTGACTAGAGAGACAATGCTGCAAGACATGAAAACTGCCTCATAATTAATTGTCCAAAGCTATAAACAAAGTCTGGGAGTTTGCGGTAAAACCATAAAGTGTCCAGAGGTCAGAGCCAACATCCCTACACTAACAAAAGCTATTAACACATTCCCCACATCTGAAAAGAACAATCAAATCCTACTGTGGAATAAGACCATCACATACTAATCCCTCTAACACAAAACATAAAAGTAAAACCATTGGTTCAGTTCAAAGTCAACAAAACCCACCAGTCCCATCAGACTCACTGTCTAATACCAGATGCCTTCCGGACTGCATTCAGACTGTTCTATATAATAAATTATTGACGGGGTTTTTCTCCACTAACGCTTTTGTGTCGTTTCTTTTCGGTTTTCACAACACCTGACAATTATCACTACCGTTTAACTTTAGCTGTTGTAACACACACCTCCACCCTTCGCTTCTAGTGCAGACACTAAAAAGCGCCATCTCCGGTTGTTTCGTCATTTCAGAAGGCTTTTACTCTTCACAAGCTTTTACTGTACCTCCCTCTCTCTCCTCCGTTTACTTTTTTCCAGGTGCGGATTCCAGGCCCCCACCCGCTCCTCTCCCCGCTGCTCCCCCCGCACCAAATCCCCCGGAACGTGGCTCCTCCAGCCGAGTCCCGCAGCCCCCGGGCCTTCCGAGCGCCGCCGCCCGGACACGCAACGAGCCCCCGCCCGCCGGAGCGCGGGCCCCGCACTGGGCCGGGGCCGCCCCGCCAGCCCTTCACCTGCGGCTGCACGGTCGAGAAGGAGAACATCGTCCCGGTGGGGACGGCGGGCACCAGCGCCTCTCCCGCCGCCCAGCCGAGCCGCGGGAACCGCCACCGGCAGCAGGAGCGGCCCCGCTGCGGGAAATGTCCGCCCGCGGCCGCGCTGACCGGGCCCGCCCGCCCCGGAAGCGGCGCAGCGGGAACAGCTTCCGGGCCGCCGCTCGAAAGACGTCCCTCACGGGCCCTGCTCAGCGTGCCTGCCTTCAGCACCCAAAACATTCTGTAGGGAGTTAAGGGTGTGCCGCGCGCGTATAAAAAATTTTACACATTAAAATATGTATTGTTGCCGAACAAGCTGTGTTTCTTTAAAAAGAGAGCCTGTGCAGCGGCGGGGCGAAATACTAGGGCTTAATCAACAATAAGGGAGATTTAATCCGTGAAAAAGATAGCGGCTAACAAGCAAGCTCTATGTCCATGTGTTAGAAGAAAGTTAGGGCTTGACATGCTTTGATGCGCTCAGACCTGGGGGAGGAAATTAGCGTGGCTTGGGAAGAGGGATGTACCACTGATAATGAACATGAAAGAACGCGGAAGTTATGGGCAACCAGGACATCTGGCAGGACTCCTACGATAAGGAAGAAACTAATAAAACTAACTCAGTAATTGTGCTGAAATTCGGCTCCAAGTGGGTAAAAGGAAATTCTGCTAGGGGCATCCCTGACCACTGACCCACAGACCACTGACCCAAGTAAACCCCTCCCCAGACCCAAAAGAAAGAAAATGAGCATGGGGACTAATGAGCATGAGAAGTGAGAGAATCATTAATCAATAGAAGATAAAATACTAATTAATAAGAGAACTATGTAACTTGTAACCGATGAACACTAATTCCTTTGTTTGCTAAAATGTTTAAATAGTCAAAAGTTTTGATAACTGATGTACATGTTTTGTGGAGCTATCCCCATGCCATGTGCCTTCAGCGCTGATTAATGTCAACTTTCTAACCTAACAAACTGGTTAAGAGTTTGTTTCCCATTTTTTCAGTGACGACATCAGTAACCCCAATACTGTTACTTGCATTCAGTTAACATGGACCTACATGTTAGGCAGAATTTGGTCTTTAATATTTATCCTTTTTCCATGCCTTGTGCATTTTTTTCCATGTGCTGTCCAATTATTTTGAGGGTTTATAACCATTTTGTTTCTTTCACCTGACCACTGTTCCTCACTGGAAGTGCTATCCCGCGCCAGCTTACATTGATCTGGATGAGCACAGCCACAGTGCTGCTTCCCTCTGCCTTCCTATACATCTCTGTTTTCCACTACCACCCTCATGATCACAATCACGTGGCTCAGCTCGCTGATTTGGCAGAAACCTCACCTGGCAACAGCAAAAAACCGTAAAAGTTGATGAACATTTACCTGGATCCAGCCCATGAAGCAGTTTGTCACATAGCTGTGCAATGAGTCGTGGTGCCTTGAGGGAAAGGAGAGAAGGCGTAGGCCCTCTTTCCGAGGAGCTCAGGCTGTCCCAGAATATGCGCTGCCTGATGCAGTTTCACAGCTGGCATAACCTGCTATTGGCACAGGATACCAGCACAAGGAGTAATCCCTCCTGCTCTCAGCTGGGCTTCTCTGCTGGCATCAGGGGCAGTGAGACATAGCTAAACTAACATTAAATGACAAACACAGACAATGATAGATTGTAGTTAATACCATTAAAAAAAGCTAATTGAAAACATTTTTTACATTTGCTCATTAAATTGTATGTACTGCTGGAATCTGTGGGATAGCAGCTCTCCTTCACAAGTACATGGCCTCCCTGTGCAGTATCAGATTATAAGTGATGTGTCAGAGCAAAACAAGGGCCTGATGACTAATCTACCGTGTTAATAAAGACCCCCAGTTCTGCACTGACCTCTGCAGCAATAGCTCTTTGCTGCTGCACAGACTGCAACAGAACAATTAAGATCAGCGTGAATGAAACATGAACGGCAATGTATATGTGAAAGCAATATAAAGGCAGTAAGGCAAGAGTTAAAAAAATGACCAAGAACACAGCTGAGTGCAGTAAAACTGGTAAACACCCAGGGCTGTGCTGTGTAAACAGAACAGGCGACCTGTGCTCTGATAAAGCGCTATCACAGATGGTTTGTCAGAAGGCCTACGCTCTGGGAACAGGGGAATGGCAGCAAGGTCAGAGCACACTGTAAATGCCATCCCTGCCCCTGCTGTCACAACACGGAGGCAGAATGGTAGCCATGGAGATATCCAAAGTAAGGACTCGAATAAAACGCAGAGCAACCTTGCCTAAGATAAATAGCAGCTGAAGTAATCAGGAACTAGAGGGAAGCAACAGAACACATTAATCTAACTCCTGATCACAAAAGACCTGCCCAGAGAGAAGTCTGCCACCACCAACCCAGAGAGCACCAGGAGACAAGTAAGGACAGGATGGGTCGAGTTCTCTGACACACAAGCCCTCCTGGTTGTGCCATCTGGACACAGCTTTTGGAGCTATCAAGTATGCAAGTGTGAGAAAATCATAGAATCGTAGAGTATCGTGAACTGGAAGGGACCCAACAGGATTGTTGAGTTTAACTGCTGGCCCTGCGCAGGACACCCCAAGAATCACACCATGTGCCTGAGTGAGTGTTGTGCGAATGCCTCTCGAACTCAGATGTGAGTGAAGCACACGAGAAAATGAGTACGTGGGACCAAATTCAGTTGCTTCTTTCTAAATAAATATTATCTTCCAGTTCTTTAATCTCTCACACCAAGTTCTCTTGAATTGCTGCACTTTCAAGCTTCCCATGGAGAGTGGGCAGTCTACCTGCTCATGGCAAGTGGAGTTTCCAAACTGGGAACCGAGATGACAAACCGAGTAGTTATTAGCCGGATGACAGCTCCGGTCGTTGGTCGCTGTTCTAAACCCCCCGCGGGGCGGGTGCTGCGGGGCCGCTTTCCATCTCCGCGCACAACAGCGCGGGTCTCGCGAGAGCGCCCGTGGGGCCGTTGGTGACGGCGCGGGCGGGGCGGGGCGGGGCGGGGCCGGCGCCGCTTTGAATCGCGGCGGGCTTGGGGCCGGGGCGCGCTATGGGGACGGAGCGGCCCGAGGAGCTGGGGGGCGACGCCGCCACCACAGCCGCCGGCCCGAGGCGCGTCGAGGTCCCCCGGCCCCCATCTATCGAGGAGTTCACCATCGTGAAGCCCATCAGCCGCGGCGCCTTCGGGAAGGTGTACCTGGGCCGCAAGGCGGGCCGGCTCTATGCCGTGAAGGTGAGGGGTCGCCCGGGGTCGCGGCGTTGCCGGCTCCGCTCACGAGTAACCCCGTGTGGAAAGGGGACGTCCCGGCGGGGCAGGAAGGCGCCGGGCCCTCAGCACGGGCCTCCCGCCTCTCGGGGGGAGCAGACGCCGTGGGAGCCCCCCCGGCTCTCGGGGAGCTGCTCGCGGGCACTGCCCGGTGCCTGGGTTCGCGCCGTCCGCAGGGCTGTGCTCAGCCCTCATCGCGGCCCCGGGGCTTCGGTCGGGGGGCTCTGGTAATGGCAGCTGCTTTTAGAGGTACCTTAATAGTCGAAGGAACTGCGCGAAAAGCCCCGCCAAGCGCTTTGCTTCTCCCTTGTGAACAGGTGCCGCAACTGAGCACCCTCAGCCGCAGCTGCCCGAGGGTGAGAGCACCGCCTCTGAGATGCGTGACGAGAACAAAGCATGAAAAACACTGTTGACGAGTACGCATTAAAAAAACAAACAAACAAAAACCCTGTCGTGTTTTCTACGTTTATACACAAAGGGCTAATATCTAAGTTTGTCAGCAGTAAAAACTTTACCAGTGATTTGTGCGAGCCTGACTTTCTGAGTAAAAGGATTATGACAAGCTGCGTAGTACACAAAGAAGAGGAAACGTAAAGTCATGCAAAATAGATGTTGCTCTTTAGAGTCGTATGTGTCTGTTTACACTATTTTGTTATAAGCATTTTGAGATCAACGCATTTGTGTAAATTCTTTATCATTACTGCAGTGAGGTCTATGACTAGTTCACAACTACAACATTTAACATGTGCTAAATGTTTATTAAGGCCAATAGTTATTAAAAGTGTAATTTTATGCATTCTGTGGATGTCTTGGAATTTTTTTTTTATCGTCTTTGAGAATAGTGATGATAGCTATGGAAAATAATTTTCTGTGGTTTAGGTGCTGCATATAGAGTGGTTCAGTTGTGTTACTTTAGTATCATACTCTACTTTATTGAAAGTATTGTGACCTAAAAACTTTTGTGGAAATCCTCTACCCCTACTGCAGAGAGACTTATGGGTTATTCAAACTACTGAATTTAATATAAGGTCAACATTTACATAGAAAGTATCAAATTTGAGCAGACTCAAGTTTTTACAGTTATGTTGCATAGAGAATGGATAAATTAAACTTGCTTTATTATCACCATATATATCTATGAAAAAGATGGTGTGCATGGGCAAACTTCTAATGTATATGCCATGCTTGCCTAAATACTTGTCAGCTGTGCTATTGTGCATCTTTTGTTCAGGGTTAATATTGGCTGAACTTATCATAGAGTGGAGTAATTCAAAGCAGGAATTGGAGCCTAAATCACAATTAAGCTTGTTATTTCTTTGTGATAAGTTGCATACCTTCGAGGCTTCTTCCCAAAGAAACAAATATTTTTTGTGTGTGACTTAATTTTTTTTTAATTTAAAATTTACAATTTTCTTGCTTTCTCTGCAAAGTTTAAGAATTAGAGGCTGGAATAGTTGCAGTCTTGCATTTGAGGATACCAAGATGGGATGGCTTACTGCTGCACTCTGTTTTCAGTTTCTGGTCTTATATCTCAGCTTCTGAAGAAAGACTTGGTCAGCAAGTGCCAATCTAAGTGTTGAACAGTTTCATGGTTCTGAGTTGTGTGCTGTGGATAAGAGGGTTAATTCAGTGCAGCTTAATTTCACATGCAGCCTAAACACTTATTTTCCAGTGTATGCAATTGCAGTAAATCTTGGTAGTGTCATTTCCATTCAGGACTGAATGAGGAGAGCAGTGGAAATGGTTGTCTAATAACCTGTTGTTTAAAATTCTCTCCGTATATGAAGTCACAGGTCTGTTTCATATATGCAAGTTTTAAGTATATAGATAAATTAATTTGCTGAAGAACTGCGGGTTGAGCAAATAAAAGAATGTTTGTCTACTTGATTTTGTTTTGTTTTTCAGGTGATGAAAAAAGCAGACATGATCAACAAAAACATGGTTCACCAGGTCCAGGCAGAGAGGGATGCACTGGCTCTCAGTAAAAGTCCTTTCATTGTGCACTTATACTACTCACTTCAGTCAGCTAATAACATCTACTTAGTGAGTAAAAAAATTTCTTTGGTCTTTTATGATTGTTTTGAAAATGGAGTGTGAACTGTAGTGATATCTAGAAACATATTTTGATGGTAATGAGTGGGTATTCCTTAGTTACTTTTACTTTCTTCTTTCTCAGAATGGTTCAACAAGTAAAATATTTCTCTTTCCCTGATACCTTTTCACCCACATTCCCCTTTTTTACAGGAAAAGCTTTTCTAATAGCTAGTATGTCTTAGAAATATGTAGAAATCTTAGGGAAAACAAGAAACCATTCTGTTCAAGCAGAATCCAAATGACTGAAAGACTCTCCATGGCTCACTTAAAGGAAATCTGTTTTACGTGTTACCTGTGCTCAAAATTCATTATGGTAGTTGGCCTACATGACAAGAGGATGACTGAGTGGCAAAACTGAGTGCCAGTCTACATGGAGCACTGTGGAGCACAGTAGGACTTGTGTATGACGACCTCCACATAAGGTCCTATGGATTCAGGCTGTCTGCAAAGGGTCTGGCGTAATTTGTCTCGATTGCTGTAAGCACACACAGCCAACAGTTTGATGATATTCTGAGGGGAGGTTGCTATGCACTCCTCCTACAATGCATTTGGAGTGTAAACAAAGGCTTCTTTTTCTGGAATCTCTGAACTGCTTCATGCAGTAGAGGACTTCAGGGTGAAGGACTTGTGAAGGAAATGCTAGTCATGTCTGACTGTGTGTATGTATATATATAAATATATGGTAGAGTATTGTGTATTGGAATCTAAGTACTGGTGAGATTTCCCAACCCCATAAATGCATTCTTATCTTCAAAGAGTGAGTTTTTGAAGCCCTGCTGTCTTTTATCTTGAATATGACCTGGGCCATAATAATGTCTCTCTTTGCATAATGTTTTTTGGATGTGTGTGTTCTTTTTAGACACTGTCTTAAATGCACTGTAGCTATCACTGTATACATTTCTGGCAATTTGTACTTATTTTGCAAGGCTCAGGTCTGTATTTAGTCTGTATTTAGTATACATACTTGCAAAATCAAATATTGAGATACTTTGATTTGTATAGAACAGGTTGTCAGTGGTCTTTGGCTTCAGGCCTTGAGTTGCACAGGAGTGCTCTGCATTTCATTTTCTATAATATAGAACTCTTTCTGTAGTCAACTCTCAAATAACTACTGTAGTCAGCTTTTAAATTAACTTCTGAGAGTAGCCTAGGCAAGTAAAATAAGCAAATGATCTATTAAAAGAAAATTTTTCATATTCTGTCATTTGAAGCCTTAATTATTTCATCCAAGTGAAAAGTATTGTGTGAGTAATCAAGTTTGCACAAGCCAGCTTCTATCAGCTTCTGCTCCTTAAAATAATATTTTTGTATGGGTGAAAGCTATTTTGTATTTTGATACTTGCAAATTTGAAATGTATTTTAAATTTTAAATTTAAAATGGTTGAATGGCAGGTGATGGAGTACCTTATCGGTGGAGATGTCAAATCTCTTCTCCATATTTATGGATATTTTGATGAAGAAATGGCTGTTAAGTATATTTCTGAAGCAGCATTGGCCCTTGACTATCTTCACAGGCATGGGATAATCCACAGGTAAAATTTTTTTCTCCCGTTACAAATAAGTATTTGGTAGTTTGTGTTTTTAATTTCTTCGCTCTATCACATAACCAATCACCATTGTAACAGCTACCACAGCTGCCTCATTTGCATGTGTGTGTTGCAGCAATGTCATGAAACAACTCCTAAAATAAAATCTGTCTGTATGTGCTGAGCAGACAAATACACACTGCTCTCCCCTGCCTGCTCTTTCCCAGTCGGGAGGTGTATCAGCAGCTGTGTTAGTTCAGGAAACCTCTGGGTACTGCAAACATGTAACAAAGGGACGCTGGCTACCCAAACGCTCCCCCTGTAGTGAGAGTTCTTTTTGCATTCAGCAGTGGTACGGAGAACACAGCTGAAAACTGTCGCTAGAGGTTTGCTTGTCACTTGTAGGAGCTCCACATTAGTAAGTTATGATAGTGGTACTCAGGAAAAACATTTGTTAAACCTGCTGAAACACAAATGTGCAGCTCTTGGTGACATGCATAGAGGTTTTACAAAGCCTGAGGTGCTCATACCGTGTTTAGTGCTAGATATGTTTAGTTGTTTTGGTGTATTCCTCTAATTGGAATCTTCTGCTGGGTAAGAGATGTTACTGAGAAACAGCTATAACCAATGTTTTGTATTGAGTGTTTCTGGTCACTTGACTTTCTTAATGTTTCTCAGTGGTCTTTTTGCTGACTTCAACTATATTCATGTTTTCAGGGATCTGAAGCCAGACAACATGCTCATTTCTAATCAGGGCCATATAAAGTTGACAGACTTTGGGCTTTCCAGAGTTACTCTGAACAGAGGTAACTGTATACTTTTGGTTGTATTAGAATGTATTTTTTGGGTCACATTTCTGTGTTCTTGAATGTTTGCATCTCTGTAGAGGGCAGCTTTCAATAATAAGTGCAAATTTTGCACAAATATCTCATTTCTAGCAGGCAAGTACCAATAAGCTACGTGCTAGTAAAGGGTCTGCTCTATACCTTGCACTTCAGAAGATAAATAATTTATTCTTTGCAACAAGTTTGTATGAAATATAATCTAGAGCCATTTCTCTTGAGGGGTATGGATTTCAAAGTTTTCTGCAGTTCACAGAGAGAAATCAGTGGGTAAATGAATAACTCTGGCTTTTTCTTGGTGTTTCTCTGACTGCTTTTGTCCTTCAGTTTGTGTTTCTCACTCCTTGTATATATGAATTTCCAATAAATTAGCTGAGGCATTGCAGACATTAGTGTGAGGGACAGGGGTCCATAACAGAAGATTAAATCAGTGCTTTGACATGCTCCTTTCAAGTAGCAGTAAATATAGTTGAATAGTCAAATGACTGCCTGGCACAGGTGATAGACTTCAGGTCTTTAATGTGAATAGCTGGTTTCTGAACTAGTTTGTAACTCCAACCCCTTGGCCAGATTGTCCAAACTTATGCTGCACAGCACCAGCTCAGGTTTTTTTGAGACAGTTGGTGGTGGGTACATCCTTTTTAAATATTTAAAGGAATGCCAAAATTCGGAGTTGTCTATGGTGTTTCTCATTCACTGTTTTAAGAATATGAAGGAAAATCCTAAGTATGCTGTATTTTCTATAATGTGCTGCTTTAAGTGATGTTCTGATGGCAGAGATTATTGTGTCTAATTGAACATGATATGGAATCCATAAGCCTGCTTACTGCTAGTGAGCAAAAAAAAAAGGTTCTTAAGTTGAATTTTCACCTATGAAAAATTCTTCTGTAGCTTTTTTGAGATGTCTTTTGGAGAGATGTCAGGCTTTGAATCAAATTTACCATCTTAATCTGTGGGCTGTAGGCTGGAACTGATGCCTAAAAACCAAAGCTGGTATCAAGTTAGAAAATGTAACGCTTCCAGCATAGTCTATTGGAAAAGAATTTGGACTTTTACAATTTCTCTATGTATAAACTATAACTTTATGGTGGATGTACAGGAAGAAACAGCTTATGTTGAGTAAGAATGTATAGGTACATCTTCAGTTGGGTTTGGTGTCTTTTGTATATTTGTTGTGCATATGACTTTTTTTTTTCCTCTTGATAAAACTTAAGGAAATGTCTGCAACTTTGCCGTTTTTTAATAGCAAAATGAAAACCTGACCTGTTTGGGGTTGTTTTTTGTCTGTTTGTAGAGATAAATATGATAGATATCCTTACTACACCATCAATGGCAAAGCCAAAGCAGGACTATTCGCGTACTCCAGGACAATTGTTGTCTCTTATCAGTTCTCTGGGCTTTGTAAGTAATTGTCACTGTCTTTGAAGTACTTAATTCTTTTAGTTTACTTACTCTCTTAAATTTAATAATCGGCATGATAAGGCTATTTTTGCATCTCTTCTGCCAGGTGGTAGAATGACTTATTATACATTTCTAGTACTTTAAAGTTCTGAAGTGATTACATTGGTCTATATTTTGAGTTGCTGACTATCAGTTGTGCTTCAAGGTCTGGTAAATGGGCATGGCCAAGCTCCAATGCAAACATCATAATGACTGTGTGAAGTTACATTCTCAGCTCTGGATTGAGTGTTTGTTCAGACTCCATTTATTTTTAACTATGTTTCTTCCTGCTCGTTAGTATTCTCCTGTTGGAATGAAAATACCGGCGCACAATTCAAGTCAATCATCTGACAGTTTGCATGGAGTGGTTTCTCCCTTATCTATGGTCCAGAAGGAAAATACTCCTCTTTCAACTAAATTATTCAAAACACGTGAGTATACCAAGCCTTGTGCTGAGGGAATACTCTGGCTCTAAGGTTGTAGTCTTTTAATTTTATGTTAGTAGTTTGGACCCACTTCATAAAAGGTGTGTTACTATCAGTGTCTACCATTCCTCCAGTGCTTTTCTTCTGACGTGTTTTCACCTACACTACTTATGCCATCTTCTGATGGCTTTTTGTGGTTTTTTTCAAATCACCACCACTGAATTCAATACCACCACAGAAAGTGTCAGTTCTTGACATACTTTCATTGAAAATTATTTAATATAGCAATGAGTGCTTTTCTTTAAATTGTCTTTTCTTGCAGCTTTCTCATTTCTAACCTGAAATGAGAAAGAAGATGACTATGCTGGTAATATTGCTTTTACGTTCTTGGCAAGTCCCTAATTCAAAAAAGGTGTAAATTGATTATGTGGGAAAGATGACAAGAGAAATTATGTTGTCATGGAAAGCTTTCCATAACTTCCTTGGATGTGAAAGCTTGACATAGTGTGAAGCCGGTCAATTTGTATCAAATTTTATCAACATTTGATTTTTTTTTTCCTTCAAGATCTTGATAATTCTCAATTAACGCCTGTGATGCCAGCAAGAAGTTTGACTCCTACTCTACTTCAGTCAAGAAAGAGGTTTGGTCCTTGCAGTGTTAGTAGTGAGTCACACGCACACCTGTCCAGTGTGGAATCAGAATGCTGCAGCAGCCCCAGGCAGGAGAAAGAGGTAGAGGTCAGGACTGTTTCATCTTCCCACTAAAAATTAAAGTTAGTTTGTACTTGTGTATGCAAATCTCCTCTACTTACTAACACTTATTTCAAGCATAGAGAAAGGAGCAGGGGTTGTAATTCTTCTTGAGTAGGATTTTGGATCAAAGTGATACAGTTTTTTTCTTCAAACAAATATTAGTCCTGTGTAACATAATAGGAGAAGCAGATGTTAGAGCCTGCTGCAAAGCAGTGAAAGGGAAGGCTTCTAGTGGCCATCACTGGTTTGTGCCCTGCACAGGTGGGCGATGCTGGGAGCAGTGGCTCATTTGGAAGTTGATCTTATCCCTAGAGCTTTATTTGCTCAGCATACAGACAAAATCACTTCTTTAAAACACAGAACTTGGGAAAATAACAAAAAAATACACTTCAAACTTCTACTAGCTGTTAAAACAAAAGAGTTTAAAGTTTTTTATTACTGAAGAGTTTTGTATCAACTAACCTAACACCAGTAATTGTAGCTGATACAAAATACTTTCTCCTATTTTAAACTGTTAATGAAATTCTGTACAAATACAGACCTAAAAGAAAATGCTGCTTTGCTAGGTAGTCTTTTGCCATAATTCTTATTTAGATCATACAGAAAAACTTAGATTTAAAACAATATATAATTCTTTATCTGTCTGTTTCTCAAGGCCTTGGTTTTATTATTGTGTTATCAATATATTAGTAATACCAGATTTTGCTTTTGTCATCTCTGAAGTGTAATATGCCACAGGGCAGTATGATGGACTTCTTTGCTTTGGGCTTTCTTGGAAACTGAAAACTTCTGTAGCTTAACTTCTTAACGTAAAATGACAAATACAACTTCAATTGCTGTATTTTTTTCATCCTTAGGCATTTAAAAATACTGCATTTTCTACTATATTCTAGCAAGCTTATTTTATGTTCTTAAGAAAAGTCCAATTATCAAGTTATCCTTAATTTGGTTTTGACTTTTTTATTTTTAAATGTCATGTTTGTCACTAGTAGTGGTTAGAATAAGTAATGCTTGCAAATCTGCATTTCGTTATGGAAGTGAAAATCAAGAATTTCAAAAACACATTTCTGTAGTGCTGTAATCCTATTTTTCTTGATTCTTAAAGCTTAATATGCTCATTTGCAGCACAGTGAAGATGAACCTAGTTCTGCAACATGCAAAACAAATAACAGTGGGTCAGCTCTCCCTTCGAACGTTGAGTTAACAAATAGCAAAAGTATTGAAGTTTTAAAGAAAAAAGAACTCGAGTCTGCTGTTTCTCCCATTGTCAGAAATGATTCTGGCTGTAGGCAGAAGTTGGGAAGTGAACATTCGAATATAACAGATACATATTCTTACTGTGCCTTTCACATCCAGTGTGGTTATGGGAGTATTTCTGAAAAGACTTGGGAAGAAAACGTCTGTGTAAATAAAAGAAAGATAACTGATGAAACAGCAGAAACTTCCAATCCCCAACAGTCATCTTCAAGGCAGAATGAGCCTTTCAAAGAGGAAGAAATTTTTGAAAAACCAGGTGTTAAAAGAGGCTTTGAATTAGTTGATACCAGTCCTTGTCAGGAACTTAACTATGTTAAAAAAAGCAACGCAGAATATAAGCGTGGCTGTCATATCTCAGAATTTTCAGCAAACAATAGGACGGGTTTGACAACAGAAATTCAGTCCTTAGTGGTCTGTAATGATGGATGCCCACATGACACCTGCAAAAGCGAGGAGGAAGTTAAGTGTTCTGTTAGCAACCAGCAAACAGAAAGATCACTTACTCCAACTATAGCCAAAAATCTTATGTGTGATCTGGATGCAGACTACAGAAAGGATGATGAAAAGGAGTACATGAACTCAAGTTTTTTAGACACTGACGATGAAAAACCTTTAGGAATCCTCAGTGCAGATTCTGATGTATTTACCGACGTGTCTGTTACAGAAAACCATTTAGAAAAGCAGCTTTTAGATTTGGACAAAAGTGTTAAAGACCTCTCCTTTGAGGAGCCAAAACCTGAAGGTGCGCTGATAACATCACCAAAGTCTCAAGATGCTTCACGAAGTGGAGAGGAAGCACATACAGTCCAGGACTGCAAGCTGTTACATCATGAGAAGGATAATGACCAGAAACACGGGGAAGGAGCTTACCTTAACACAGTATCTCCTCCTTCAGAAAAGATGATGGAAGCACTGAGTCTCTTAAAAAAAAATGCTGTTGTTTTTCGAAGTTATAATAGTCCAATTAATATGTCCAATGTATCTGAGCCGTGTAGCATGGCTTCTTTAGATATAATGGATCTTTCACCTGCTTGTAGTGGCTCTTACCCAACGGCTATCACTCCGTCACAGAAAGGAAGGCCATATCAGACCTATCAGGTAGGTGAGGAGACATGTGGAAACTTCGTGCATGCGTTATAACATTAGCAACCTGAAATTATTTCAGTTGTAAATTTAGGGAAAACTCAAGTAGTTTGACATAGCCTGTCAACAAAAGTCACTTTGACAGACTTTCTCTTACTGCACTGACATGGCCAAATTTATAATTTCTGTAAGAGTTTAGTAATAACTATTCATTGGCTTGCCTGTGGCTCAAAATGCTTTGACTGTTGACCTCTTTGAGAAATCCATTGCTGTTACAGTGAACTGATAAAAAAAGCCTGTGCTATTTTTATCTCATTCTACTTTTAGTACAGTGTGGTATTTCCTTTGAGCAGTTACAGGTTTTCTGATGTAATGGGAAGTCTTTGATTATTTTTTTTTTTCTTTTTTAATCCTGCACCCCTCCCAAGACAGTTTGTAAATGCTGTTCAGCTGCTAGTAGCTGCCACTCTGCCCACTATTTTCCTTTTTTTTGTCTTGGTAAAAGTGATGGTGTAATGTATACTGTCAAGTGCCAGTTACAAGCCTATTACAAAGATTGATATAAAGAGTAATAGCTGCTGTGGACTTACACTGGAGGAAGAACTTTAGGATAAGTTTCTTGAAGAATAGGCATTTTAACTTTATGCTTCAAGATTGTTGAGATAAAGCAATGGAAGCACATTTTACATGTACTTTTCAGGGAATATTTTGTGACATGTTCTTGACTTAAACTTGAGTAACAACTACTATATCCATTACTAAGCCTGGAGATGGGAGTTTCTCAGCTGGTTTTGTTTGGCATCTGAAATCTTTGTTGCATCTTTTAAGACACCTCGTCAGGGGGATGCTGGCACACCATATCGGACTCCGAAGAGTGTAAGAAGAGGAGCTGCCCCAGTAGAAGGTGAACGTATCCTAGGGACCCCAGACTACCTGGCACCAGAGCTGCTTTTGACAAAGCCTCATGGTAAGACAAACCAGCCATTTGTCAGTACCTGAAAGGTCACATATTTACATTCCTGAGTGTCTCTAGAACTGAAAACCCTTCAAGTAATAACATAGTGAATTTTTCAAAAATAGTTAGTGCTTAGCTTTTGCCATTACCCATTACCTTCTGTGAAGCTACGGTTTTCTGGCTTTGGAACTTCAAATTTTCCCTCACTAAACACTTCCTGTGTTGTCAAGTTGCTTGTAAATGTAGTTTTAATCCTAAATTAATCATGTTACAGAATTATTTTATTTCTGATTCTAACTTAGATTTAACATTGCCATCTTTCTTTATTGTGGAGTTACTACCTTGAGAAAAAACCTGCATTCCAATGCTTTCAGAGAATCATACATGATATTTGATGTTTATATTTGTTAGATTTTTTTTTGTAATAATTATAATATTCTTACTTCGTTGTCTTTTCATATGCAGGGACTGTGATCTCTGGTGAGTTTTCTATATTCTGTGCAGGAATGAAGTGTTCAGCATAACTGAACAGTCAAAGTATAATTAGATCACAATTTCCAAGAACATTGTTTGGGTGAACAATGTTCTTATATAGAAAGACATGTCCAATATGCACTCCACATAAAAATGTGTGATGCTCCCACACAGATTCAGGAAACATCAGTGTCAGTGTGACTAAGCTATCAGAAATCATACATGTAAGTGTATACTTCAGAAGGAAAGTCAGCATTCTTAAAGAAATTGTGGAGGTAAGCCAGAGACGCTTTTCCTCGTTCTTTTAGGTTATACAGTCAGTCTGATTTACTTTATCTGTGGGTGAAAAAGGCTCAGATGCTCAAGACCTCATATTTCTACTTCTTGCTTCAAATCATAGAATATCCTGAGTTGGAAAGGACCCAAAAGGCTCACCAAGTCCAACTCCTGGTCCTGCACAGGACACCCCAAGAATCACACCTAGTGCCTGAAAGCGTTGTCCAAACACTTCTTGAACTCTGTCTTGTACTTGGTGCTGTGACCACTTCCCTAGGGAGACTCTTCCAGTGCCCAACCACCCTCTGGGTGAAAAACTTTTTCCTAATATCCCATCTAAACCTCCCCTGACATAACTTCATGCTGTTCCTTGCATCACGTTTAGTAGGGATATGGTGGTAGTAAATCTAATCTTAGTTAAACTTCGTGTAGAAAAAAATCCCTGCTGAAACCTGTGTTACTACACTGTTCAGAGTTGTGATCTTATTAGACTTTGACTGGAGCTGGGAGTGTTTTAACTGAACATCCAAGTAGTCTAACAAGTGTGAGTGTGATCTCACTGCTGCGATGTGCTTGGCTTGGTGGGCCACTCTTACTGCTGTTACAAGTTGCTAAAAGTGCATTAGATTACTAGTTAAACATTTTGCTTTTCAGCATCTCGAAACTTAACAGTAGTCCTCGTGAAATGGCTCAAAACATTTGTTTTCTGAACTTAGATGTGTCTTAATGTTTTTTATATGCAAAAAAATCCAAGAGCAATTAGACTTACTGCCTTTCCAAGATGATGTTTTACAGCATCTATTCTGGCATCTGTTCTTTATACAGTGGAGCGGGCATGGCTCAAAGATGCAGAAGGCTTAGAATGCATGCAGCGGTGCCTGGGATTGCTTTGCCGGGTTGTGTTTGTGTGGATTATTAAAATGGGATTGACAAAAAAACCTCCCTGCAATGTGGAAAACCAAAACTATTTCATAACAAAGAAGAGATAGCTAGGAACTACATATTACCCTAATCAATTCAACTCAATGAAAAGCAATTCCAGCATCTTGTGTGCTGCCTCATCTCTGTAAGTTGTCTTCAAGATATTCACATAAATTTAGGCAAATAAAAACTTATGTTCAATAGGTTGAATTCTTGGAATCTTCTCAAAGAACTGAGAGGAAGATAGAGGCTACAACATGGAGCCAGGTCTAGAGCAGTCATTAGGCAGCTGTTTCTTGTCACAAAACAATCTCTTGGAGAAGTCAGCTCCTGGATTCTGACGGGAGTTCATAATTAGATTGTTAATATGAGTCCCCTAGCTTTTATCAGTAAACCCAGTGTTATCTATAATGAATTAAGAAGCAGAGTGGCTTTAAAAAACCCTTTAATGTATTTTTAATCTGCATGAATATTAAATACAACTTATTTTGTCTTTTCCTTCATTTTCAAGAAATTTGTAGAATTTAAACACTCTTCAATCTGCCATGGCTAATCTTCAAGTCTTTGCAAATACTATTTGTGTAAGTGTAATGAGCTGGGTTTCTCTTATCAGGTTCTGCTGTAGACTGGTGGGCCCTCGGAGTTTGTCTGTTTGAGTTTCTAACTGGAATTCCACCTTTTAATGATGAAACACCAGCACAGGTTTTCCAAAATATTTTGAAAAGAGGTAATCTGTTTCAGTAATCAGGGTAACTATGTTTTTCCAATATTTGTTTTATAGTTTGAGTTACCAACTCATCTGCATCTTTGTCTGTAGATATTCCCTGGCCTGAGGGTGAAGAAAAGCTGTCTGATAATGCCCAAAATGCAATAGATATTCTTCTAACAATTGACACTACTAAAAGAGCTGGACTGAAAGGTTAGTATTAAAATTGTGTTCTTTGCAACTAATTGCAAATTGCAAAGTGGTGATGTCCTCCTCCTGAAACTTAGACTAATAAACTTCAATGCCTAATTAGGTTTAGTGCATGTTTAGTGTTTGACATCTGACGTACCAAAGTTCTCTCTTATCTAACTCTAACTTGGAGTTCTTAACCTAAATGATTTTGGGAACCTTGATTAAAAGCCTGTTTTGGCTCCAGTTTGGGAGAGGATCCTCCTACAACAGTTAATTCAAAGAAGTTTTTACTTAGGAATCAGCCTGTCTTTGAATGCATAGAGGAGCTGGACAATATATACTGTACAAAGTCTACATATATTTTTCTTTTTCCCCTTTTAGAAGTACTTGAATGTTTGTCATTGTTAACAGTGACTATGTTATATAAAAAAACCTGATAATATGAAGGAAGCTTAGAGTGAGATGTTTTGGAAATAGATGAAGAAATCTTATGAGAGAACCGTGCAAGAAATCACTAGAGAAGGAAATGACTATGGAAATTCTTACTCATAAAGAGATTAAAATGCTAGAAGCTAAAACCAGGCCAGATCAAATTAGAGGAGGCACATGAGTGTAAATGAAGGTCATGATGTCAGCAGAAAATTCTGTGGCTTTAATGTCTCCCAAAAAGCAGTCTGAAGGTGTTATAGTCAAACACAAGTTATTGCCTTTATTCCTGGATTTTGGAATGAAATCCAATTGCCTGTCAAGGAAAGAAATTTAAACCAAGTCACATAATGGTTTCTTCCTATCTGAAATTCTTGGAAATTCATTCTTTGTCAAGCCTTATAACTGGATCTGATCTCTTTGTCCAGTTTATAGGCCACTGACGTGAAGTTGGCTGAGTAGTTTTCAGGACAACCATTAAGTTTCTCTCATTGTACCTAAGTTTCCATTGCTGTCATCTTCTCTCCCCTCCCCAAAACACATGCTCTCCCTTTTTATTGCTATAGCATGAAGCCTTACTTACTGAGAAACCCCAGTTATGTCATGTCCTACTGCTATGCTTCTATGAGTTCAATCTCTCCAGATAAGCAGCTTTAAAGCAAGTTTTGGTAGACAACACTGATATCTGGTGTTGGTTTGGTTTTTGCTCCTCTCTTCAGTCTTGTGAGCAGAAGTTGAGTGCCAGCTGTGGTACACATGAATATCTTGGGAAGAGACAAAGAAGTTTGGTTTTAACTTCTTGGCCAAAGGCAGCTTCTGGTGCATGAGAACTTTAAGAGCAGAACTACATACAGTTCTGAGATAGTGGATCTGTGCAATGCCCTGCTGCTTGTGTGGCTGCTGAAGCCATTAGAAGGAGATAGAAGACTCACTCTGCCTTTTGTCTAAAATAAACTTTTAATGTTATGTTGTTGTATTTGTTCAGGAAATGCAGAAATAATAAATGTTAATGTCTTACTGTCTATCAGCTAAAAGCCTGTGGGGTATGTACTTAGATGTAACATTTGTAATGAGTGTCTTGGTCAAACTTCCACCTCGTTCAAATGTGATTGTTTTTTTTATTTTTTTCACCTGTCCTATTTCTGCTGTTTGCTTTTGATTTTTGTGGTGCAGGTGATAAAAACATGGCTTTGTATCCCAGTTAGATTAAAAGGTGTTTTATTGGATTTAATCAAAGTAGCAACGTCATTTTGATAAGGGACTGGTATTTCCATGTTATGCAGAATTCATATCAGAACCTGCATGCCAGAAGGTCACCTTGTCTTCAGAATGGACAGGGCAGGGGAGTTCTCCTTGAGTCAGAAAGTCCGGCAGCTTGGTTAGTTATCCCATCTTTGGGCTGGGAAAGTGAAGTCTGGTGGTCTGTGGTAACTTCACCATAAGGGCATTTAGACTTCTGTGTCTGGTGTTTGGCCAAAGGGGACTGTGCAAAGCAGAGGAGGTAATGAAATCCATGAGATAGCATAAGAAAGAGGACCTGGAGTGGTGACGGGTGGGAGTGACTCCCACATGTTTACTCAGCACAGAACTTTGGTAAAATTATAAACAGACTTTGAAGTGATGCTTAGAAATTGTCTGGTGCCCCAGCATGAGAAATGTCTCTGGGACATCTCTGATCCGCTCTGTGTGGAACAGGTTCCCTGGATAGGGGAAGGCAGCTAGTTGGCAGGACAACAGTTTGATGCCACTGAGGTTGGGGGTAATCAAAGCCCAATTGCAATTTGCACTTATATGAATTTCTAAAAAGGAATACAGAGCAAATCTAGTGACAGTTATGCGTAAGGGAACAAAGTGCCTATGGGGCTTGGCCATGAGGAAGTTTATAATGCTTATGTGAACTTCTGTTCCAGAGTTGAAACATCACCCCCTCTTTCACAGTGTGGACTGGGATAATCTGCAGAATCAAACCATGCCGTTTATACCTCAGCCGGATGATGAAACTGATACCTCTTACTTTGAAGCAAGGAATAATGCTCAGCACCTGACTGTGTCTGGATTTAGCTTGTAGCATCAAGATAAGTGAACATTCTCCATGGTTTTGCACACTTACAGGTTATCTGGTAACACTAGCTTGGTCTTAACTAAGTTTCCTTGCCAAATTTAGTGTGTTTTACATGACCAGCCTTTTTATTATAGTTTCCTTTATTCTAAAGTGAAACTATTGTATGTAACTGGTATCAAGTGCCTTTTGTGGGCTCACTGCACCTTACTAGGAAGCCAGAACATTGAATGTCTTGGAGCTGGTAACTCTTGACAATGATGGGGCTTTTGCATAGCAATGAGTAATTCCAGTTAGGAGGTGTGATGTTATTTCCCAGCTAAACATAATATGGAAAGGACAAAAATGCATACTAACTGTATCTATTGGCAGTTTGCTGTGATGACAGGCTGGGTTGGAAGCATTCCTTTAACTCTGTTAAATAAATCCTCTGCTCAAATTGTTGCATTGTAACCACTTGGGCTGTACGAAGCTGGACTCAACATACATTTTAGCAGTTACTGGTTTTACCTAGAAAATGCCCGGTGTGTGTGTGTGCTCATTGGTGTCAGATGTCAGCTAACAGGTGATTTTGGTTTTTAACAAGTGAAGCAGTATTCATACTGAAGCTGCTATATACTGAAGACTATTATGTACTGCAAACTCACAGATTGTTCTGCAAACTCACAACGAGAGCTTAGATTTTTACTAGAACGTAAGATAGAAGTGTATATTCAGTATTATAAATCTGAATTAGATTAAAGTATACTTATCCCTATCTTTAAATGCAACACAAAACTTGTATCTGCTAGGTTTCAGAGGTTTATTTTTAGATAATGCTGTTTAAATAATCTTCAGTATTTTTGTTGCATAGGTATCTTTCTCTGCTAACTGAATGAAGATTTTAATTTTTCAAGTTTGTACTTGTTAGATTAAGATCACTGGCACTAAATAATGATGCTAGCCAAGGGCCATGTGCCAGCTGAGCATTTTACTACTGATTTTTGCCAAGTGGCAAAAGTAGTTTCATGCACTGACCCCTTTTGTAGCAATAGCAAGTTGTCCTTTCATTACCCTGCTTCCTGGAAGACAGGATTTATTGATGCAATTCTGAGCAAACAGTGTCTGCTAGGCTTCCTGCTGTCCCCTCAGGTTGCTGGGAAAAGAATGGGAAAGGTGAAGAAAATGGAAGTTTCCTAGAAAAACCTAAAGAGAAGCGATTCTTAAGAGCTCAAAATGACCAATCCCAGCTCTAGGTATGATAACTCGGACATGTTGTAAAACATACAGTGAGTCTCACTCCTTTTGCTAAGGACTGCAGTTTCAGAAAACTTCTAAATTGTTCAGTCTCTTACCCCTGTTACATGAAAAAGGTGCCAACAAATGAATGCATTACTGAAGCAATATCCATAAACAATGTTCTCTGAATGTGATGAGAAATTCTTTGGTGGTTTCTGCTGTACAGTTGAAATATATAAACTGGGGTAGGAGGGATACCTTAGGTTATGTAATCACTGGTGTTTTATTTATAAATTTATTCTTCCATTTCTAGTAATCTGATTTAAGAAAGTGAGTCTTACAAGAATGGACTACGATTACATGTTGAGTAAATAATATAAACTGAACACCACACCAGCTCTTTATCTTCAGTGCTTTACAAATGGTTACACCTGTTCCCATTTTGCAGTATAACATGTTCCCATCAAGGTGGAAAAAACTTGTTGCAGTGGTATGGTCTTTTAAAGAAAACCTCTAACCCCTTGAAACAGTTCTGAATCAGTCACAAAGGTCAAGTAAGCTTCTGTAAAAACCTTATTCTAAAAGAAAATTGTTAGTTTTCTACCTGTTGATTAATGCAATACAAAAACATAGATTCTGTAAGAACAGTAAATAGACCAACAGACAAATCCAAATATTTAGTATAAAGTTACCACTACAGTGGTGTCCAAAGCTTAAATTCTGCACCATCAGCACTGAAGATGTGCAATACCCCGTTCTCGTCAGTATCTTGCATTTATCTTGGTTATAGCAAACATGGAGTTGAGTGTAACATGTTGATTGTTGGGGTTTGTGGTGTGGTTTTGTTTGTGGTTGGTGGTTTTTTAGCTTTGTTGTTCAACATGGAATTCCTTGTCAACTCTTAACTCTCAGTTTTGCCCCACTTGTTGCATCACTTGAAATACTACAGGTAAAAGTGCAAAAAGCTATAATGTGGTAGCTGGAAGAGATTAAAGGTTCATTCTCATTAGTAATTATTTACAAATAATTAAGTAAGCTGGCAAAAGTTTCTGATCCTTAGAAGCTGTGGAACATGCCACTTTGCAAGTACTCCAGCTGTTACATGGTGCTTCCTGAAGGCCTAAACTTGATGTGCATGACCTACATATAAACTGTAGCTTCCAGTTTATCTTGGGAGACAGTTTACCTGCCATTAGCACAGGCCTGTCCATCTAAGAACTACTGCAGAGATCAGTGTCACACTTTGTTATACAGAAATAGCAGTCTTGGACAGTTACTCCTACCCCTTACTTGCTGTGGGGCTCCCCTGTACAGTGCAATGTTCGGGGGCCAAGATGCTGAATGCCCTGTGTTATTGAGTTAGGAGATTCCGATTTCAGCATGATCTGGTTTACCTATGGTTACTCTTGCAATGAAATGCATTCTTTTCCTCTCAAAAAAATTTACTTTGCACGTTTTGTGTAAATATATTAAAAAAAAATGTTGTATTAAATAAAATATTGTTGTTCTTTAAACTGGTATACTTTTGACCCTGCTGGGAATGTGGGAAGTGGATTTCACACAAGGAACTCCATTTCCTACTACCTCAGCAAGGAGTGATTTTTGTGTAGGGAAATAACAAATACTTTCTAGTACAGGTGTGTATGGCCTTCAGTTCATAACTTGCTAACCTCTGTCTGCAGTCTTTAGTAGAAGCTACATTTGTGTACTTAATAGCAGGAGAGCAAAGTCCTAAGCTGGCCTGTAATGCCTTCTGGGACCCTCCTCCTCCTCTGTGGTAACTAGAATGATTCAAAAAAAAAGATGGTCATCTCCTCAGCACTTGCTGTGCTGCCACAGGAGCAGAGGAGGAGAAGAAACAAGGCCCTGAGCATGGAACAGCTGCACCACGCACACACATCTGGCTCTGTTTTGGTTCTATTATCAACATTTAGTGGGTGGAATGTCTCCAATCTGGTTTTATACAGAGCTAACCTCTGCTTTTTAAATGAAGCTTGACTCACTGCAGGAAACCAGCTTGACATTTGCTTCAGAAGTGCAATTTTGAGCTGGGCGAAGCTGTTTCAGTGCTGTGCAGAACTGCTTTGACTGCCAGCCCTCCTGAGGAGAGCACAGGCTTGAACAATATATAGCAGTTCTGAGCTCCAGTGATCTGCTTATGCCGCTTCCTCCACAGTAAAGCTGTGTCTCTTTGTACCTGGAGAGGTGATTTAAAAAAAAAAACAAAACAAACACACAAGTTTTCCTTACCTTTAATCTGAAATACCAGTTAACTAGGAATCTGTTCCAGTCTCAGTGAGTTTGAGATAACCCTAGAGGCTGAGGCCCAGTTCTGAGTTACAAGTAAATTGTTATAAAAGTGATGATGTTCTGTATTACAACTTTTAAGGTTGAGACCAATTCTTCATGACACAGCCAGCAGGCTCTTCTGTACACTCCCAGCATCCAACGTACACCATTTAGTAAACATTAAGAAAGTTCAAGATAAAATACAAAATATTAAGGGATTGATTTATTGAAACATGAATAAATAACAAGGATAGTACATGCCCACATTTATTTCAGTGGGAAGTTAACGATTAAGTACCTTTGGGAATGTTTGTCCCATCTCTAAGAGCTTGATATCTATGTGTAACATGGCTCTGAGCCAGGGAGGCTCTCCAGGGTGCTTTGTCCTGGCAGAAGACAGGACAGGGGGGTTATTTTTCATGTGACCTTCAAGCTAGACTATCCTTCCTGTATGATTTATATCTTTTGTGGTAAAAAGTCAATCACTCTAGAAACTTTAAGCTTGGGCACAAGGGCTTCAGGTCACAGCAGCACTTCCCTTCCAGGATAAGCTTTGTTCAAACCTGAGTTTTCAGGGTATCTCATGCCAAAAACTCATCTCTGGCACACAGAACCATCTAATTGTTACAGCAGTCTTCAAAGAGATTACAACCATTTTATTTAATTTTTAATTCAGCTTTACAGTAAGAAAATCAGAAGAGGGGAAATGTAACTAAAAAAAACCCTGCGTGTAACTAAAAAGATTAAAATTTCTCTGGTAAAACAAACATTAAATTCTCTGATTACATTTTTATACAGTATAGCTTGTATGAAAATGTTTTCCAAACTATAAAAGATTTTCAGGAAGGACAAAAAAACTTTCCTTAAAAATTATTTGTAATATGTACTCCAGGTGGAGAATGAAAGTTCATCAATAATCATGAAGTTTCTGAAGATTCAGAGCTTAACCATGGATTATGTTGTGGTATAATTCTTTATAGCAATTATTAAGTTCTCTGTCAAATCTAATTTTAGTGCATTTGCCTTTTCCAGAGATTTAGACAACCTATATATTAATTTATTTTAAAATCAAGTGTAAAGCATGCTTTAGTCAAGCAAGCTTGACAGAACTGTAACTCTTATCTGTATATTGGTTAATAAATACTCGGGGGGGGGGGAATATCAGCACCAAAATTAGCTGAAAAGTTTTGTTTTGAAAGTAAGTATAGAAGGATAAGAGAGAAATACCAGAATTGGTATTTTTCAAGATGTGACTTGAGAAAAGTCCACAATGGATTAAATCGTACTTCAATTTAACACAACCTGACAACAGAAAACTTGAGTGCACTGAGCTTTTTAAAAGCTTAGAGATAGACTTACAGAGCTAGTTTTCATCTCATTTTAAAGCACCTTGTGCCTAAACTATGTATTTCAGTTAAAATAATCTGTTGTCAACAAGAGTACAATTATCAAAGTTAAAAAGATAAGGTGCAGCCTCCTCTTTACATGGATCCCTTGTACCACACACTGTTTCCAGACTTGTATTTGACAGTCGCCTGTTATTAATGGCTCTAACTTTCAGAACATATACAAATTCCCAGATTGCCTTTACAATTTTACAGGATAAGTAAAGGATTCAACTTCATTTATGACCAATTTACGTGGAAATTTGCCCCCCACTTGTTTAGCAGCAAAAAATAACCAGTAGATTCCTCAGAGCTATACTGTATATTTCCAACAGCTTGCAACGTATTGAATTCATACTTTATTAGAGCTTTCACCTGGTATTATGTAACCCTGTGGAAAAACAGGCAGGGAAGTTGGGATTGTAAAATTATTTCTATGTTAAAGTGATAGTTTTACATATTTTTAACTTATTCTTTTACAGAGATGTTATTCTCTTCTTCAGCTGACATCAGCAAGGCCAGTAATTACTGAAGGCCCATCCACAAGCACATTCCAAAATAATTAATGTTCGTATGGTTTTGAGGATGGAATTATTAAATTTATTTGCAACCTAGGAGCTGTGAATCATTCAAGTTTCAATAATATTAGTCCTTAAATGTAGCTCAAAGGTAGTACAAATTATTACTGTAACATAAGGAATATCATCCCAGATTCTGAGATTCTATGAGAATTCAGAATTCCTTTGCTTTCCAGGGCCATCTTCTCCTAGAAGTCCTTATGCAAAGCCATGAATTCTCAGTTCAGTTTTCTAGAAGAGGAACCAAATAGTTTAATGTACCTTCACATAGGAGACAATTTTTCATTTGTCTAAACAAACAAATTAACTGAAGTTACATGTAAATTATTTCTAATCAGATAAAATATTACCTGGCTTCAAGTACAAAATTCACTAAGAGCTCTGAACTGAAGATGGAATTCCTCAGAACAGTCCCTGACCACATCAGTCAGTGGCATGCTGGCTCACAGCACAGCAACACTTTAGAGCTGTTTTGCCAGTGACTCCAGAAAACATACAATTAGAGGGTTCTAAAACCATGAGCTGAATTAAAAATATATTTCTATCTGTGATCCGGTTTTCAAGCCTTCTTCAGTGAAGGCTCCAATACAATTACCCAAATTTTCAGCATTAAGTTCCCCATAAAGGAGCAGGAGACAGGTTAAGAGGTGCTGGGAGAGAGCTGAGCTACCCCTGCCCAGGGACATGAGCTAAACACAAAGCTGTTGGTTACAGAAAGCTGTCCCTCCACCAATTCCATAGAATTTGCTCCACTGTGCAAAAGAGTTCAGGAGTTATGGCTCCACAGCTGCAGGATGAGAAAACCTCAGCTCAGACTCCCAGCTTCTGCTCCAGGACAGTTTATGTCCTTTAAAACCAAAAGTACACAGACATGATCAATACAGGCACAATACAGGTGTTGCCTAAGAGCTTGCACACCTTAACAGAGTACAAGCTGAAACTGGCAATGGGACAACAAAGAAGGACTTGTTTTTGCAATTCCACTTTCTCGCTGAGTGTACTTGATCAACTTCCCACACATTGCTAAAGGAGATGGAACTCCAGACGGAGAAGTGATGAAGAAGCAGATAGTCCTTAAATTCTGGCTATGGGCAGACTGTCAGAAACGGAGAGAAAAGCTGAAGAACACAGAAAATTCTTTCGTTTCTGTTCTTGAAGTTCATCTCAGTACAATCCATGAATGAGTAAACAAAACATGGGGCTGTGCTATATCTGTGTCTCACACTGTGGTACACAATGTGGTACGAATCCTGAACTCAAAAAGAATGTTGAAAAACTGAAACATTTGGGTAAGGGCCACGAGAATCATCCCAAGACTAGAAAACAAACTGAGATTCCAGTTGCTCCATTTGTTTTAAGAAAGAGACCACAAGATGACTTGGTGATAGCAATAAAGTACTCATGGAAAACACACCATGGGCTCTTTGTCCCATAGATAAAGATCTAGGAAAATCCAATGAATGAAAACTGAAGCTAGACAAATCCAAACTAAAAGTAATGTACCATTTTTTTACTCATCTAAGCTCTGAATCACTAGGACAATATATTAGAAAAATTGCTGGTAAGGGTGCTTTTCTAACAACTGATTTCTCACTGAACCTGTGAATGGATTGAGGGTGCTACAGAGGTGAGAACAGATATCAAAAAAGGTTTGCAAGAACAGCAACTGTTCAAAGAGAGAGCAAGAGAACATGGCCATGCAAGAGCAATTAGCAAAACATAAGAGCTTCACATAAGATACTAAAAAAACCTGTGTTGATTTAAAAAAAACAACTTTGCCCTTGCTGATGAAATGGAAATCTCCACTTAACAAGTAGAGAAAATGAGCAAAATGTGCGTAACTGCCTGAAAGCCTTAGTAGTGCAATCTCTTTCATCAGACAGAGCAGTAACACCAACGCTCCCAATGACAGCTCTGAGCCAAACTCCCTGGCAGACTTGCAGCCTTTGTGGGTGGTGTATTGTTTACAGTTCCATGGGCTGGGCCCAAAGAGTGATGATCAGTGACAGGAGTCTAACTGGAGGTCAGTAATTAGCGGTGATGCCAGGGGTTTGTGCTGGGGCCAGTCCTGTGAAACACCTTTAGCAATGGTCTGGATGATGGGGCAGAGTGCACCCTCAGCAATCTCTACATTACACACAGTTGGGAGTGGCTGATATGCCAGAGGGTGGTGCTGCCATCCAGAAGGACCACAATTGGCTGGAAAAACAGGCTGACAAGAACCTCATGAAGTACAACAAGGGGAAATGCCAAGTCCAGCACCTGGGGAGAAACAATCCCAGCCACCAGTACATGCTGGGGCCTGCCCAGCTGGGAAGCAGCTTGGCAGAAGAGGATCTGGGCATCCAAGGGGACACCAAGTTAAACATGAGCTGGCAACCTGCCTTTGCAGCAAAGGCCAGTGGTATTGTGGGCTGCATTATCCTCCCAGCAGGTTGAGGGAGGTGATCCTTCCTCTCTACTGAGCATTGGAGAGGCCACACCTGGAGTGCTGTGTCCACTTCTGGATACAAGAGAGTCATGGACAAACTGGAGAGAGTCCAACAAAGGGCCATGAAGATGATTAAAGGACTGGAGCACCACTGAGGAGAGATAAACATTAGCACAGGTTGCCCAGGGAGGTGGTGGTGTCTCTCTCCCTGGAGATATTCAAAAACTGCCTGTACACAGTCCTGGACAACTAGCTCCATCCAGGTGTCCCTAGTAGAGTAGGGGGGGTTTGGACCAGATGGGCTGCAGAGCCCCCTTTCAACCTCAACCACTCTGTGTTTCTGTGATTTACTGTGTGAGAGAAAACTATACCATGAAAACTATCAAACATCAAAAAGCTAAACCAATTTTAGCTAATTCTCCTATGATCTACACACATACAAACTGTCTGCAGACTGACAGAAGAAAAAAACATAAAAGGTAAGAGCATATTGAGCCAACAAAGTCAGGTGTGAGGCTGAAGTAGACAGCCACTAGAGAACACTCGATCTTCTGATGCTTGGAGAGTTGAGAGAAAAGGCAAGATGAGAGTACAACTGTCCTTCAGCTGAAGGAAATCAAAGCAGATGATATAAAAATATCACAGTAAGGTACTGGTAGATGTTAAATAAGAAATAGGTGACAGGTGGCACTCCACAAAGGTTGTGATAGGCACAAGGGGACTGGAAAGTCTAGAAACAGTGAAAATGGCTCAAGAGGATATCAGGAGTAAGGGGATCAAAGAATGTCATGGAGATGTTTCCAAGCTATCCAGCCTCACCCACTCGTGTATGCTCGCTGAAATTATTTACCCTGCATCACATTTCACAGATTTAGCCTAAGTTGCCACATGTAAAGCCTACCACATATAAAGTCAAATTAACCAATACTTTCAAGGCAGAGAATTTTATGCCCTGTCTAAGTAACACAGTATACTATATGTTGGTTTAAAACAGGTGAAACACAGTATATGGGTCCTATTGAATGCACATCTTTACCTTCGCTTTCTTTGAAGATACACATGTACCAACCACTGGGCAATAAAGGGCCATACAATAGCAAAAGCTAAAATACCAGGAGAAATTTCAAAGGGCCACCATGATGGTTTCTAAGGAAAACAGAAAAAAATTCCAGTCAGCAATCTGTGTGCACGTATTGAATACCACCTGTATAATTCTAAATCACTTCAAATGCTACAGTACCAAAGTAGAAAATAATACCAGAAGAAAAGATTAATCTATCAAGTAATTTCTTCAGACAGATTATTTTTTATTTCCTAGTCAAGGAAGAGACAATACAAAAAGCACATACCAAGAGCTAGAGATAAAATATTCA